TAGATGCGCGTACATTACCTGACACCAGGTGTCGTAAGAGTCGAGTGGGAGAACTAGTGTCTCGGTCGCAGTCCATACCTGGTGTTGATTGCCAAAGATGTAATTGGATATTCTATTTATTGACATTAAATCATGGATGTGTCTAGATAGACTGAAAGCGTTGAAAAAAATATAGTGTCCAACAGTTGGCCACTAAATTTATTTCCTTAGATGTGTTGACGCTATCGCTGTTGCGTTGTCTTGGCCTATTTGCTTTAGTTGTTTTGTATTCACTACGACACTATCTAGAAATATAAATGATCTTAATTATTATTATTATTAGTTAGCTTCATTCCGTTGTGTAGAAGGTAGATCTGCTTGAATTCATTCTGTAAGAATATTATTAGAATATAATTATAATGTTGAATTATAAACAAACAGTCCTATTTTGACTACATAAAAGGTATGAATTGTAAACTGTTCAGCAGACAGTCTTTAAAACATTTAATTGCAATTCAAGATATATGTAATAAAAAATACCATTGTTGTAAATTTAGCACTTTTAACTACTTTGTACAGTTGCGCCCCATGAAATAAAATTATGTACACTTTCGACCAAGTTGCGCAGGCCGTGGTCACAATCTCCAACCTGTGACCACGAATAGGTTGCACAAGCCGTAGTCACAGCCTCCAACCTGTAACCACGACCAGGTTGTGCTGGCTGTGGTCACAGCCTCCAACATGTGACCACAACCAGTGCAACCTGGTCGAAGCTTCATGCAATTTGAAAATGTGGTCATAATCGCATTAATCTTGTTTCTTTAAGTACACATAATTATATGAAACCATAAGGTATGAATGTAATCTTTTTAATTTTATTAAACGGAGAATTTTGCTCTTAATTTGTTTGAATAATTTGGCCGAATAATTTGTTAATTATTTTTCAACTTCTTTTTATTTCTATTTCCTTCATAATGTGCATAAAAAATAAATAAATACAAAACAATGTTGTTGCACTGAACTGAATCCCTTTGCTTCTCTCTCTTACAGATATCTGTTTCTATTCTATATAATTACAAAAACACAAAGAATTTAATTTTTGTCCATTTCATTTACATGTTACCATAATTTATTTGTACTAGAGATATGTCAGTTTCCACTAATACACATCTGTGACCACGATGATATGATGATATTGACAGATGTTTATGAGATTTAGTTGGTGTTAATATATATTTCTATAAGTCATTTTGTGTTATGATAGACACCTGGAATATGAGTGATGTACAGTTATATATGTAACCTAATCATATATATAGTTGTCACTATTTCAAATATTAATATATATATATAGTGTTGTGTGTGTGTGTTGATTAGTCAGGGAATGAGTTGTGCAGAAAAGGTTAAGCCCCAAAATTAATAAGGCCTATTATCTGTACACAATAAAATCTATATTTATATTGACATTTTTATACTGAGATATTTATTTTATATGGTCATAATGAAATAAAGATTAATAATGTTGTTTGTATAAAGATTATATAAACAGATATACCAATTATAGCATATTTGTTGATTAGATCTTTTCTGCACAACTCGGTTTGAGTAACATTTAAAATGAGTACCATTCATTTTTAAAACGCTTAAATAACTAGTTAGTTTCAATTTTAGACAGTTAAAGTAATATCTAGTTTTGAATTGTAGTTATTTGTACAAAAATATTATGTTTAAATAAACAATAGAGTTGGCATATTGGTTTATCTGATGATTGTAAGAAGATTCATTTATGTAATTTTGCTTTAATTGGATATGTGCAACTGGTCTTGCAAATACTAGGTAATGCCATAATTTTCTGTCATATAAAAGGGTTACCAAGAGATGCTGTATAGGAATATCAGTACTGACGTAGGCTTACCAACATGAATAGAGTGTGTGCTAGTTTCCCAACTTCTCTGTTAAATGAAGAAGATCTTAACACTCAGAAACTTAAATTAGTGATCTATGTACTGTTCCTAAATGATTTAAAAACAACCTTATCCTTATTAAAATACGATTTCCAATCGAAGACCTTACTTGAACGTATACAATGATTATAATTTCTCTGCATTCTTGTTGAGTGTATTTGAGGTAGGCGTAATATGGTAACATTGTAAAATTTTGCCCGATTCTCAAACGTCAATGTTAAACCGTCCTTGGGAATGAAACGTTTTTCAGATGAGATATAAAAAGAGTGGAGGAAAGTGGTTGATACAGATAGAAAGAGATATCTATGGGGCTGAGTAATATATACACAAGGCAAACGAAATACCTGGCCAGATCTACGTGTGTGTGTGTGTGTGTGTTATTCCCATAAGTATATTTATACAGGATGTAAGGGACAGTGTAACGAATATTGAAATAGTGTACATATTCAGACCATCATTCGAAATTCGAATCGAAATCATTGGCATTTTCCGATGGATGGATTGCATGTCGGAAAATTAAACGTTTTATGCAATTAGATGTCAAACGTTAAGGTCATTCCCCGTAGGTATCGTACAAAAGTAATAACTACATGTTTTGACCGTATTTATTTAACGAAAATCGGTAAAATGTTCATGTTTAGTCATACATTTGCAAATTATTATAATTCAGAATAGCCAGCCTAAATTAGTTTTTAAATTTCACTGGTAATAAATTCATCAAAATTTAAAATAACAGGTACTTCGTACTGTAGTGTAATGTTAATAAAATAATGATGATCCATAAACATTTGTAATCAATACATAAAGGTTTGTTATTAGAGATTAAATCTGTAAAATCCCAGCTCTCATTGTTGTCATTTGACTCCTCACTGTACCTTTTACACTGTACAGTGGTTACCGGTGAAAGCACTGTACAGTGTAGGGGCACGTGAGGAGTTAATCTCCTCATAGTATCATTTACCAGAAGACTAATTCTTGTAATAAAAGTTCTGTCACAATTCTTTTTTTTTCTTTTCTTTTTTAAAAAAGACAACTCCCGCATTAGGAAAATATCCTGTGTCGCGGGGGACTTTACAAACATACATGAAACGGACACAAATAACACCCAGACTTGGAACAACAATTTGTGGATCACACAAAGTGTCGTCCCATGTGGGGTTTGAACCCACAACACTCGGCGCAGTAGGAAGCGGCGTGGCGACCGCTTAAACCACTACGCCATCCGTGCAGTCAATTCGGTTCCGATCAACTCACTACCTCACAACTGTCAAAAAAGGTATTTTCGTAGTAAAGTGTTAAATATCCAACGTTGGCTGTGATGTGATTATATCGTATTGTAACCGAAAGTTGAATCGGTACTCTGCTAGTCTTAGTAATACTTTACCATTTTACTACAAAAATACTGAACTGAACTGAATTTTGACTGCACTTTCATTATGACAATTGGCCAACAGGTATCACTATTAGGTGTCTATGGGGGGCGGTTGACACTTACCATCAGGTGAACCGTCTATTGCTTTGCTACCTATTACATAAAAAACCTTTTCTGGGATTCATATTTATGATATCATTCAGTCACGTGTTCATTCACACAAAACTAGTCTTTCATCTTTGACGACCGGATGGCATAGTGGTTTGTGTAACGGACTGCTACTCCAAAGGTCGCGGGTTCGATTCCCGCTCAAGTCAAACATTTGTGTGCTTAAACATTTAATGTTTGATTTGGTCTGGGTGTATAATATGTATGTATTTACAAAAAAAAAAGTATATATGTATTTATATCAGTTGTCTAGTAGCCATAGTACAAGCTCTGCTTAGTTTGGGACTAGATGGCGTTGTGTGAATGTGGTAGAATATTATTATTATTATTTTTTATATCCTCAAACACACTTGAGTACAATCATATAATCTTTTAAAATACTTTGTTAGTAATTTGCCATTTTCTATAAGTACTCGTAGATAATTTGTGTTACACCAGTGAAATTGTATTATTGTACCAACATGGACTATCGTATTATGTGATCATATTTCATGTCATTCATTATTTAAATAGGTATTTATTAGCAAGTAATAAAGTCGTTCAAAATTAACTGTACGAGTTTTCTTTTCACCTTTTCTACAGGTATGTAAGAATTTTTCTTGTGCGCTTCTGTACTAAGCCGTCCCTTACCTATTGTGGAATACTGCAAGACAGATTGAACATTATCAACGGCAAATTAAACATATACCGCTAGGCTAACAAACAAGATGCGTCTATGTCATGTTTGTCGTTAAGGATCCCTAATAATATTATAAACTAGCTGAGACCCGCGGTGTTAACCGCGTTTGTTGTTATAACCGCGAGCAACGCCGCGGGGCGAAGCTGCTCCTTATGTCATCAGCTATCTGCCAGTGAAAGTCCCATCGAAATCGGTCCAGGCGTTCTAGAGATTACCCGGAACAAACAGACAAACATAGTAAAAAATGTTATTTTGGCATATGTACCGTGTAAACATACATATGCATTTAGTAAAAAGCGGTTATTTTAATATTACAAACAGACACTCCAATTTAATTTATTTGTATAGATGCGAAAGTAATTCTGTCTTACGCTTTCTCGCTAAAAACGCTTCTCTTGAAGCTCCCTTCCTATGGGCTTCCCGAAAAATTATGTAACTGGGATACCAGTTTTCTTGCAGACCCTTACACCAAAAAAAACCAGTGTCACTCCGGGAGTGCCTACAAAAGTGAAAACTTGAACTTATACAGGTTTTTTTTAGTTTTTTTTTTTTCCGATTCGAAAAGTACCTAAAGTCAACTCGCGTGTAAACGGGGCCAATATACGTGGACACTACACATACAGAGGGGTCGGTAACGGTAACATAGTCGCAGTACCACTCCCGGAGTACCACTGTTTTTTTAACGTAGCTATGAACAAAATGATCCACAAAATCCTGAGGAAATCGAAAGTGCCCAAAAGGAACACGTTTTAGAGATAAGATATAGATCTTTTAAGAAAATATGTGAAAATATTTTTAAATTATTATTTTCTAAAATGTGTTTGTATGTGATGTGTAGGTGCATGGTACAGCTCCTGACATCGCCGGCAAGGACTTGGCGAACCCCACCGCCTTACTCTTATCCGCCATTATGATGCTTCGTCACCTGCAGCTCAACGAGCATGCGGATCGTGTGCAGGACGCCTGCTACCAGGTGCTGCGCGAAGGCAAATCGCTGACCGGCGACCTTGGGGGCACCGGCACCTGCAGCGGCTACACTAACGCCATTATCTCCAAACTTAACTAGCTTAATTATCAACAATTCTTAGCCCTCGATTTTTTTAAAGGTGATAATTACACTTATCCAAGATTTGATCAAAGATAACTATTTATTTTATTTATTTTTATTTAAGGCTAAATTGTATTCCCTTTAGTGTATGTCAATGTGTCGTAGATGTCACTGAAGCTTCAAATTTCAAAATTGTGATGTAAAAGTAACGCCAGACATTTGGTCAAATGTTTTTGAGACAAATTGGAGGAGTGGAATGTCACCGCTTTTGCCGAAAATATTGGCACCAGACTGTACGCGGTAGAATACAATCTGGATTGTATATGGGTAAAGAAGCAGACACTACCTGTATTTTAGATAAGTAGTCTATACTTGTTTTACACAGTATTGCTATGCAATTATTGTATTTTTGGTATTTACTGTTGATATCATTGTTACCAAACTTATTATTAGTAAGTATATTTTTATTGTAACAGTGTCGATTTTTACAACTGGATTAAGATTCAAATGACATCATTATATTTTAGACAATTTTAAAGTTTTTGTAATCTCATGTACACGAAGTTCTAACCGTCAAAATACAGAAAACATCGGCATATCGTGTTTTATTTTTACCTTTTTTTTAATAGGATATAAACATAATGAAAAAAGTAAAAGTGCTATTTTCAAGAAACTTGTCGCACACCACTAATCTGTGGATCAAGTATTTTATAATTATTTTGCTGTAAATACTAAAACTGGGACAAAATTAAGACTTGGTATGGGATAAAAAAAATATTTATTTATTTCCATTAAAAAACAAATGCTTAGTACAATTAATAGAATACTATGATATTGTACGTACTTACTTTAGCCGTTCAAATCATCGCGTCACTTCAAGAGCCTTTAATAGGCCACTGCTGGACAATGGACATAGACCTCTCTTTAGAAAGGTTTTGGGGCTACTGTACGTATAGTATACGCTGGGCAGACGGGTTGGCATAGGGTCTGTGTCTATGTTTATCTTCTTTTTGCAGTGCCGTTGTCCTGAAACTGTTTGTCCTGTCCTTAGTCGACTCTTACGACACCCACGGGATGAATCAGATGGAAATAACCACATGGATACAATACTAAAATAGAAACAATACAAATACTATATAGAATATATAACCGATGCTAATTCACTAATATTATTATAGTTACGAAACAAACCGAAACGGTCTAGAGGTTTATCGCTGTCCGCCATCTATGACGCCAGGATGGCTGCTCCTAGGCAAGGTTAAAAGACCAGTGAGACTTCAGAATTGGTGCAATCTTAGTCTTACGTTCAGAATATTAGCGAAACTTCGACTTCACGGATGGCGTAGTGGTTTAAGGGGTCACCACGCCGCTTCATACATACGCTTGGGTTTGATTCCTACATGGGACGACACTTCGAGTGATCCACAAACTGTTATTCTGAGTCTGTTGTAAGTTGTTTAGATTTTCAATTATAAATTGGACTTTATAGTTTGTTGATGACGTTTTAAGATCATTATTAAATTTACACATGTTGATTAAACGTTAAGGTTTTTCAGACACTTTCTATATTTGCACAAGTTACCTATCATAAACAATACTCAAGTACCTACAATTTCACTTGCAAAATTTGAAGTTTTCTCCTGATAACTTTGGGACAAACTAGGGTATATCCCTTTCATCAACAGCCTTTAACAGTCCACTGCTGGACATAGGCCTCTCCTTAGAAAGGAGGTTTTGGTCTACTATACCACGCTGGCAGTCGGGTTGGTATAGGGTTTGTTTCAAATTTTCCTTCTCTTTGCAGTGCTGTTGTCCTGTGCAGTTTGCTCCCTTACTCGTCTCTTACGACACCCACGGGATGACATGGGTGATATTCCGTATTCTTAATCCGTCACCACACGGATAAAATATCCCTTTACATAAAAAATAATTGTCTAAATTGCTCTCTCGTCTCTTTTCCTGATGTCGGTTAAAAAGCTGACTGTGCGAAAAAGCGACACCAAATAAATAATTTTCTTTTTTAACATTTCCTAAGTAGACAAGGTATAAAAAAGGATACAAAATCTTCCGCTACATAATGAATGTTTTTAACCCTTAACTCGACAGAGAAATAAATGTCATAATTTTTTTGTTCTTTGTATATATTTGAGTTTTTATGTAATAAATGGTCACCAGAAAAATATTAAAAAAAATAATGCATAATTGGTTTTAGTGTTATGCCATGTATCTTATTATGCACACTGCCAAGTAGATAAGAATTCATAATTTGGATTGCTTGTGCATTATTAGATACTTTACTTGACTAGTAAAGAAGTGAAAATACTTTATATTTTTAAAGTTTTTTATTTAATATTTCTTTAAACATAAAAATAGTACTCATTTATTGTGATAGTTATAAAAGCAGTTACGATCTTCCATTAAACAGAGTCTAACTTGACATTTAAGGCATATAAATTTGGTTTGACCCTTAACACAAAACTTACATCGTCCTTTTGTTGTAAATGATGGCAAGTGACCTACTTGGTCATAACGTGTATCCATGTGATGGTAAGGGGTCACAAATCTTTTTACATCTGATTTGACATTATTAACAGTTCGGTCCAAAGTAGTGAGACTGTCGGCTATTGCGCATCTGAAATACTTTAGTTTCATGGGTCTCGGACATTTACTCTCTCGTCGATAAATAAGCCATGCGTTGTTGATACAAATATCAAGCATTTGCGAAAATAAAGGTATGTACCATCGATGTGCTCTCATTTCGGTGCGGTAAAGAGCAATTAACATATCCGCAAGGTCTACACCAACCATATAAGCATTGTACTGACGAATTATGTTCGGAGCTGGAACAGGCTCTTTGCGTTTTGTATTTTTATTGTATCTCAATACATGATGAACTGGCTGAGCGTCAACATAAGAACTAGCCATAGTAACACACTTATTGTCAAACCACTTAACAACAGCGACTTTTTTCTCATTTGAAGTAATCTGTGAAAACGCTCCACGGCCTTTTTTTTTCAAAACTTTATCAGTAGGAAGCTTTTTGTCACCACCTCGAAGACGATTTGTTCTCACGGTCCCTAATGAAAATATACCGTATTCATTTCTTAAGTAATGCACTAATTCTATGGATGTAAAAAAAAATATCAAAGTATATCACACTGCATGCAGGCTCCTTGATCGACTTGCATAAAGCTATGACAACTTTCGATCCTAACCCTAGGCTATTTTCTTCCTCATTGAATTTATGATATCTAAACGTGTCTTCTCCTCCATAAACCAAAAAGTCATATACGATTCCCGATACTCCAGCCCGAACAAATATCTTATACCCCCATTTTCTCGGTTTATTTTTTATATACTGCTTTCGAGTACCAGCTCTTGTACCCTTGTAAGGCACCATCATTTCATCGACACTAAATCGGTTCTCCTCTTCAGTTTTCAGACAATTTTGTCGGATGTTCTCTAATAAGGGTCTAATTTTATAATAACGATCACCATCGTCACATAGGCTATCCACAAAATGCACATAACGTCGAATTTGTTCAAATCTTTTCAATATCATAATATCTGCTATTTTGCTATATACTAAGTGCTTTAGACCAATAATCAGTATAGGCCGGTAGACGTACAACACCCATAAGGATATTGATAGCTATAAAGTTCTTTATTTCATCTAAAGTTACACTCAAAGGTGTAGTTCTTAATTGCATATGATATAAATTAGTTTCTTGTACCATTAATTCGAATATGTCCTCCGAAAAAAACAATTTAAAGTATTCTAAAGGTGATTTAGTTTCCAATGGCTTGTTAAATATTCTATCTTCAATTTCGGCAGTATGTTTGAATTTTGCAGTAGTCCACTTAACCTCCAGCTTCTTTTTCTTTACTATAGTTTTTTTAACTACAAATGTTCTTTTCTTGGATCGAGTAGCATTAAAAGGTGAAGGCACTGATGCATGTATGGAGCTATTTCCTATTGAAGAAGATACTGGTGAAGGAGTCGGTGGAATAGTAATATTTTGTGCAATATTTGATAGAGAAGCAGATACACTAGATGGTGATAAACTTACATTCTTCGCAATATTTGAATCTTGAGCTGTTACTAAAACTACCCTGTATTCGTCTTCACTGTCCGATAATAAGTGTAGATTTTCTAGTGATGATGGCAATGAAGGTGGATCTGAACTATCATCACCATCTGCATTAATTCTCGTTATTTCAGTATCAGAAGAATCACTTTTCTCAACATCTGAGCTCGCCCTAGGTTTTGGGACCAACGCTAATATTTTTTGTGTTCGTGTGTTGACCTAAAATGAATAAAGAATTCTTATTGTATAATTCTTTTCTATGGATATTTTAAATTTATATACACATTATTATAAATGTTAAAGTGTTATAAGTTTGACAATGTATCCAAAAATGCACACAGTAATTATAAGGTCTTAACTTAGGAAATTGGCAGTGTGCATTTGTAGATACATAATTATTGAGGGCCATATTTAAGCAGTATAGCGTTATAATTTAATTGAAATTTTCTTCATAGGCAATTCAACATATATTTAATTAAATAAATATCATGTTTTTTTTTCACAAATTAAGTATTAAAATAGTATTTGAAGTAATTTTTACCTTGTACTTCGCAGACCCGCACAAACGTTCCTCCATTTTGCGATCTATTGACTACAAACGTAGCCAAATTTTTAATATTAATGTTTATCTACCCACTATAGTTATTTATTTTCATAGACTAAGTAACACTTGCATTAAAATACACCGACATTATTGTGAAATATTTTTTTTAATAATGTGTGCATAATAAGATACGTTATCGAGTTAAGGGTTAAGGAGGTTTTAGGGATTCTGCTCACTGTGTAGAATTTATTTGTACTGTTAACTTCTCTGATCAGAAGGTAAAATTGATTGATTTATAATAAAACCAAAAATCCTAAAGATCTTGTTTGTATCTGAGTATTAAAATTAAAAGTTAAAAATTAAAGAAAATCAAGTTTTGGCAATGATTCTGTGTCTATGGTCATGAAAGAAACTAAAAAAAAGAATATTACTGTCAAATGTCAAAATAAAATCCGTCAAAGTCGCGTGTAGGCTGTCACATCGTCAAGCAGATGATATCGGAACTTGTCAATCTACACACGTTGTTTATAGTTTTGTAACCTCTTATTAAAACTTTTAATCACAAGCGAAGTTGTGGCAATGGTGAAGCGAGTAAGTACTGTGTATTTTTTCATTTATATTTTTTTTCTTCCCCTAATTTTGAGTTTGTATGTAACTTTTTTTCTTATCAACTCGTGTTATTTGATTACCAATAGTTTTAATGAAAATGCTTAATCACAATATATAACTATTGTAGCCTGCCGATTCGTCTATTTCCGAAGAAGATGGTGAGACTGAAATCACCAATGAGAGTCGTAAACGACCACCAGAAGACCAAAATAAAGATGGAAAGAAACGCCTCAAAACAAAAGGCCTGTACCGCCAGCCGACGGTGAATGAATTAAATAGACTTCAAGAAACCGAAACCTTATTCAATTCAAATCTCTTTCGGCTACAGGTTGAAGAAATTATCAATGAAGTTAAAGTGAAAGAAAAAACTGAGAAGAAATTTGTGCAGTGGTTTACAGAGTTCAAAACATATATATTGTCTATACCTAAAGATAATACAGAGTATGATTTATCTGAACAGACCCTGTTCAAGAAGCTTAAAGCAAAAATACCACTGAATGACCAGTTGAGTAAAACTAAATGCATATTTAAATTTTATAAATTTAATGATGTTCAAATTGTTGGCTCGTACGCACTTGGGTGTTCAATTAATTCCAAATTAAGAGTAGATTTACAGATAACTATCCCATCTGTAACATTCACAAAAAATGATTCAGTTAATTATAAGTATCACAAGAAACGAGCAGCATATTTAGGGTATGTCGCTTCACATTTACTTACATACGAACACATTGAAGACCTACAATATTCTTACACAAACGGGTGTGAAAGTAAACCAGTACTAGACTTTAAACCATCCGGAAAGCTCGGAAAATATTTATCAGTGCGCATTAACTTGGTGTGTGAAAGTGATGCATACAAGTTACACAGATTTAGTCCGGAACGTAATAACCTTAGGGAGGCTTGGTTATTTAATGATAACTCGGAAACGAACACCGAGGTTGGCCCACCAACACCATATTATAATAGCAGTGTACTCTCAGATCTAACAAATTCAGCAAATTTTGACTTTTTACAAGAAATTTTTGATAAAAGTGATAATTTAAAACAAGCAGTTGTGTTATTGAAGATTTGGTTACGTCAAAGAAAGCTGGATGTATCAGGATACATTGTTTGTATGTTTGTTGCATATTTTGTACAAACAAAGAGAGTGAACAACATTATGAGCAGCTATCAAATTGTGAGAAATATTTGGATTGCTCTCAGTAAGTATATGTTATATTTATATATATATTTTATATTATTAGGGAAACAAACAAAAGTTAATGTACAAGTAAACTAAACACAATCCAAAACAGTTTCCACCTATGAATATACAACAGTTTTAAAACTAAAATTTACAAATGAAGGTTTGACAACATTCAGCATCTAGGTGAGAAAAAGAAAACAGTTCAAAAGTAAATATAGAATTTAAAAAAAGCAAAGATTGTATTGTATTGATTTATATCAATTCATTAATTTGGGGTTGATTCCCAGCTTTAAATTAACTTATTTTGCTTGAATCATTAAATGTCTTAAAGAACAGCCTAATTTGTTCTCCATTTAATGTTTTATATCTTAAAAATAGTGTATAATACTAAACATATTGCTGTCATTAATTCAGTTTTATTTCTCTCTTAATAGAAACAACAGATCTTGATAAAAAAGGATTATCACTACACAAGGGCCAAGATCCATGTCCACAAATAGAAGTTTTCCATCAACACTTTCCAGTTGTGTTCATAGACAAGACGGGATACTACAATATTTGTTGGCAGATGAACCGCAGTACTTACAACATGTTGAAAAGAGAATGTGCTCTGGCAATAGATATGTTAGACAACGGGAAAATTAACAGCTTCATACCACTGTTTATGACTCCTGTAAAGCCGTTGATGCAGTTTGATCATATACTAAGGTAAGCTTGACTTTGATTTCTTTATTACGACGGTGCTTTGTTGCATTAAAGAAAATTCGAGAACTATCAGCTTAAATAATCTTTAAATCTTAGCTGCTGTATTACTGAATGTTATTAATTGTTTTGAAACTCTGATTTCTGCCGGTGAGACGAAAAGGGTGCCTTACTGGCTCATTTATGTTGTTTACCATATAGTAACCAAATTATTGTACTACATAGGATGCTAGCACTGTAAAGAGAAGGAAAACTTGAAACAAACCCTATACCAACTTGTCTGGCCAGCCATAGTAGGCCATAACTTCCTTAATAGGTGAGGCCTGTGTCCAGCACAAATATAAATGTAATAATTATTCTTTTCATTTAAAGGTTTAAATCCCTGCAGAAAGTCAAAGAAGCCATACTGTCTAAAAGTCCAAAGGAATCTCAAATCAACTATGGGTTGGACCGTCTAGTTCTCGTTGCTGATATCCTGTACCGGCTGCTAGAGAAAGGCCTTGGCAACAGAGTGGAGGTCATACATCAGGTAGTTGAAGGGGATTTGTCATGGTCGGTTAAGAAGAGTTTAAAGAAAGCCAGAAGTGGGTATGTATTGCTGTAACTGTTCGATTTTTTTTGGTCACATCTCGGAAAATAATCACAAAGGTCTTTATATAATTACATGATGATGATGAAGGAGAAAGGGCCGAATCGACTTGTTTGACACCACAGCCACATAGAACATTGATGTATAGCAATTCTTTCATTGCTTTGCGTTTCAAGGTTTGGAAGAGTGGAGTCTCAAACCTCCTCCCCTCCAAACCTGGTCGGGGCACTAATATGTTGTATATACAGTAATTGGGGGTAGCCAAATGACACAACCGGTATGTACAAGCTTGTATATAATCGTTGACTGACGCAGCAGTCTATCTATATCAGTAGTGTAAACTATATATAAGTACCCTACATGGTTACTCACTAAAATAATATAAGAGTGATAATGCATTTGTATCTCTTGACTAACTTAGGACAGGTAACTCCTCTGCTTATTTTGCCCCCAGAAAATATAATAAGCATGAAATAAGTAAAACATTAAGGACATCTGACACACAACGCCATCTAGTTTCAAACTAAGCAGAGCTTGTACCACGAAAGCTAGATTGACTGATAGTATACTCATATGCTTTTTTTTGTAAATACATGCATATTATACACAAAAAAACACCCAAACTCGAGAAATTCAAACATTTAAGATAATTAGCTGTGAAGGAAATAAGCACTTCATACTGAAGACCCTTAAACATCATAATGGTTTCCTACCTAATGAGTTATTAAAGTGTAATCATTATTATCATAATGTTCATTTTCCACAGTTTGCAAGAAAATATATCTTTCGGATTTGTACTGAACCCCGAGAACTCCATAAATGTTGTGGAAAAAGGACCTCCTGCGAATCTACCCGAGGCTGAACAGTTTAGGTAAGAGTTATACTGACTATCATTCAGTCAACTATCATTGGCACATATATACCGAAAACAGTATCACACAGTGCCTCAATTTAAATGAAATTAGGAAAAGGCCATGAAGGTGATTATAATGGAGGGAGAGTTAATTCAGAGGGCCTCATCATCATCAACAGCCTTTAAAAGTCCACTGCTGGACATAAGCCTCTCCTTAGAATGGAGGTTTGACTATACCACGCTGGCCAGACGGGTTGGTATAGGGTTTGTGTCAAGTTTTCCTTCTCTCTGCAGTGCTGTTGCTCTGCGTAGTTTACTCCATTAAACGGCTCTTACGACACCCACGGGATGAATAGGTTGACACTCTGTATTCTTAATCCGTCACCACGCGGACCAACCGGTATTCAGAGGGCCTAGTGTGATCCGATCGAGTCGATGAGAAATAAACTCACAGACCCTCAATATGTCTATTCATGTAACTCTTAAACGATGCCATATCTTTTTGTAAGGATTGGGTTTGCGTCGGCTGGGGAGTACTGGGTGGGGTTCAAACCTGGTAGGGTTCTTGGATGTCCGCGATTTCGAACGTGTGTTATTAGTATTATCTTAGTCTCTATCTTGTCTTAAAATATCTGGGGCCGTTCAGACGTTCTGACGTACTTGAGTAATAAACATATATCCAAACTTTCGCATTTATAATTGTATTAAGATTAATTGATATACATTTAAATGTTGGGTGTGTATGCAGAGTGTTCTGGGGTGACAAGTCGGAGCTCCGTCGTTTCCAAGATGGCTCCATCACCGAGACGTGCGTGTGGGAGGGGGAGACGCTGACAGAGCGTCGGACTGTTACGAGGCAGATTATTGACTATCTGATGAAGCTCAAGTATGGTATGTATGTTTATCAATTATCAATCAATTCTCAATATTTTATCATACATTTCTGGTATGAAACATCTAATACGGAGGGTCAGACCGGCTATAGGCGTGGCGACGCGTCGCCTCACGCTATATGATAGTAAAGGTAACATACGAGGGTGCGTTTTTAAGTTCGCGGAATGAGTGGGTTGGAGGGGGGTGATTAGGCTCATTAGAATCGTATAAATACCAGGTTTCATTGTTATTAGACAATTAGTCTTTGAGTTATCGTCAACCAAGCAACATAATCGGGAGTGAAAAGTGAAACATGGAAAAAATCGAATATCGTGCCGTTATAAAGTTCCTTACCAAGCAAGGAAAATCAGTTGCGACCATAATGAATGAGATGTCATTGGTTTACGGCGATTCTTGTCCAGGAAAAACCATGGTGTACAAATGGCACAGTTTATTTAAACAAGGAACTGAATCCCTTGAAGACGACCCGAGGCCGGGCTGGAGCATCGAGGTGATCACGCCAGAACTTATCCAAAAAGTCGAAAAAATTGTACTCGATGATCGACTAAAGAAGAAACAACTCGCAGAAATGGTTGGAGTATCTGATACAACAATTTTTAGAATTCTGCACGATCATTTTGGCATGACAAAGTTCAGTGCAAGATGGGTGCCGAGAATGCTCACACTGACGCAAAAACAACAGCGCGTAGAGTGTTCACGTGCATTTTTAGACCTTTGTAATGAAGACAAGGATGCTGTATTGAGTAGAATTGTTACTGGAGACGAATCTTGGGTTCATCATTATGAACCTGAGTCGAAACAAGACTCCATGCAGTGGCATAAAAAGGGCACAGCACCTCCCAAGAAGTTTAAGGTGTCACAGTCAGCTGGGAAACTCATGGCAACGGTCTTTTGGGACTCAGAAGGAATATTATTGATCGATTATAAAGATAAAGGTGTTTCTATAACCGGAGAATACTACGCTTCAATATTACAGCGACTCAAAGAAGCCATTAAAGAGAAAAGACGGGAAAAATTGACAAAAGGTGTGTTGCTTTTGCACGACAACGCGCCCGTCCACAAGAGCCGCGTTGCGTTGGCTGCCCTGCATAAGGTGGGCTTCGATATTTTGAATCACCTACCTTACAGCCCAGACCTGGCCCCCAGCGATTATTACCTGTTTCCAAAAATGAAAAAAGAACTGCGGGGTAAAAAAATTACCAACGATGATGAAGTTTCGGCGTATTTTGAAGACAAAGAGAAAACATTTTTTTATGAGGGTATAAACAAATTAATTGAAAGATCTGAAAAATGTATCTGTCTTGCAGGCGAATATATTGAAAAGGAAAAATAATTTGTTTTTTTTATTTCCACCCCTCATCCCCCATTCCGTGAACATAAAAACGCTCCCTCGTATAATGCGGTGAGCAACTGAATACGCTGTTATTTCTACCGAATAGTTAAGTATTTTTTCAGTCAATCTAGCTTTCATAGTACCAGCTCTGCTTAGTTTAAAACTAGATGGCGTTGTCTGTCAGACCGTCGAAAATATTTTTATTATTGTATTATTATTAATTTGATGAGATGGATCGTTTACGACAGACATAAGTCCGTCGGAGCTGTACCACGTGTGCTCGCAGTGCGACAGCGTGTTGTGGCGCAAGCTGTGGGCGAGCGCGCGCGCGCTCAGCGCCGACGACTGCGCCTTGAGCGCGCTGCGGGCCTTCGACGAGCTGCGGCGGGACCTGCGACAGCTGCAGCAGCTACCGCTCGACGTTAGCGCCGTACTAGGTATGTACAAGCAAACTAAATGTCACCCACCCTTTGAATCCTCCCTGAGGATCAGGGTGAGACGTAATATCACTAGGGTCGAACAGGCCTATTTGTGACAAAGCTTGGCTCTCCCACAGTAAGGGAGAGGAATCTTTTGTTCAACATGTGAATTAAACTTTATATCTTGAAACGTTATTGTGAAGTGTACAATGTAATTACTGAATATCAATATCATTACGACGATCGAATGGCGTAGTGGTTTGTGTAGCGGACTGCTATTCCAAAAGTCGCGGGTTCGATTCCCGCTCAAGTCAAACATTTGTGTACATGAACATTTAATGTTTGATTTGGTCTGGGTGTTTCTATGTGTAATATGTATGTATTTACAAAAAAAAGTATATATGTAAAAAAGTATATAGTACCAGCTCTGCTTAGTTTGGGACTAGATGGCGTTGTGTGAATGTGGTACAATATTATTTATTTATTACTTAAATCTTCACCCGAGCCTTTTTCCCAAACTATGTATGTTAGAGTCGGCTTTAAGTCTACTATGATACGGTTGAAATTCGCTTTGATGCCATCAGACCTCCACAACCCAAGTACTAGGCGATATCGAAGTTCTGTAGAAAAATAATTGTCGCACTTTTTTTCAACTACCCGTAACGATTGCCACAAATATTCGTATGGCAACCGGGACCGACACCTTAACGTGTTAAGAATGGTCACCCATCCTTAGACTGACATGGCTTAGATTGCTTAACTTTGCAATATATTATCCTGCTCAGTTACCACTTGGCCATGAGCCCCAAAGTTAAACGTTAAATTTTATAAAATATAAATCGAACACTTGAAATTCCAAACATAAATAAAAACGAAGTAAATGTTTTTTTTTGTTAATAAAAATAATATTAAACCAGCGTAGTTTGTGACTAGTTTTTTTTTTCTGTGAGTTACAATAACTAATTTCTATTAATTACAGGAGTATCCCCAGTGTTCAGCTACAGCTGTCCCCTCCCCGCCTTGGCCCTCCCCGCCCCGTACAACCCCTGGCAGCGTGGTTCCACGTGCCTGGTGAAAGACATGTCCAGACCTGACGGGGTGGCGACTGTGCCGGAGTACATACCCGTGTGTAAAGCTATTTTAGAGCTAGGTAAGATTGATTACATTTTTTAAAATACATTTTACAAGTTATAATTTTTTAAAGTTATCTCCCATACAAACTTCCGTCCCCTTTTCACCCCCTTAAACGATGATTACTGGACTGAAGACTATCATACGTCCTTTCCCGGAACTCAAACTATCTCTGTACCAAATTTCATCTAAGTTGGTTTACTGGTTTCAGCTTAATTAGGCAACAGATAGACATACAGACACACGGATTTATACTATTGGTATGGATTTGTAGTGTACTCTTATTCTAGTTTAATCTGGCGCTACTTGTATTAAATATTTACTTTCACAGCAAAATTGTTGCCGGTCGCCTTCTCATTGAAAGTAAGGTCTGATCAGACAGCGGATGGGACGGGACGGCGACCGGGTAAAAAACACACATAGCGCTGTCGTCGCACTGTGTTGGTGGCTCAGCTGGTATATTATAACTTCTCACACCACATTGTCGTCCCGCCCGCTGTCTGTTCCTTCCTTAAGTACTCCAAATGTGTATTTATTGGTGTTAAAACAAAGTGTTACTGGTGTTTCATATATGTTCTAACCTTCCAGGCCACAGCGGCAAATGGCCAGGAGATCTACATGCATTCAGGTGTCTCAAAGCTGCATTCCACCTACAGATAGCAGAGCGTCTAAACCTTCAATACTCCCTCCCTACACAAGCGTACCCCACACACATCGACGTGCTCAAAAACGGGCTCGTGTTCCGACTAGAGATAGCACACCCGAAAGAGATTACATTATTAAAGAGAGAAGTAGAAAAGGGAGTTGTGAAGTTCAAAGAGAGTGAAGAGAGTGTGAGATTGCATTTGGAGACCGTGGTAATACCGAGGCTGAGGGGCTCACTGCACGGGTGAGTGTTTAGCACGACCATAATATTATTTTCTATTGACAGCCGTGTCCGTATGACAAAGTGTCACCACCCCCTATTCATCCCGTGGGTGCCGTAAGAGCCGACTAAGGGAGCAAACTACGCAGGACAACAGCACTGCAGAGAGAAGGAAAACTTGACACAAACCCTATACCAACCCGTCTGGCCAGCGTGGTACACTAGACCAAAACCTCTTTTCTAAGGAACGGCCTATGTCCAGCAGTGGACTATTAAATGACGATGATGATTGACAGCCGTATTCAAACTCAAACTCAAACTCAAACTTTCTTTATTTCATAAAATTTTCAAAATTGTTTGAAATCGTCTTCCATGTAGACTCTAAAGTCATAGATCAACACACACAAAAGCAACAATCTCTGTTTTGTCAAATAGTAACCAAATAAATTTAACAAAATCAAACCCATACAAAATCTATGATATGCCTGTGCCGATCTACAACCGCCCGTTTCCAAGGGGTTGAGCCTTATGAGAAGAAAGGGCAAACAAACTCATGGCCACTCTTTTGCAATTCACAAGTAGATACAATGGCACTATTAAATATATCACAACATTGTTTTGATGTGTGCTAGTATGTCCGTTATTATGGACTTAAAGGTGAAAAAACAACGAAGAGAAAACAAGATTAAGAAGAACAAACGAATACAAGAGAAAATGAAGTGAAACATAAAAAATAGAAAAAATAATAAAAAACATACTAGCCACACCACATTTTTACTTAAGAAAGAAATAGCCTGCGCTAATTAATCCCAAGCATTCTTGTCCTCCATGTAATCCACAATCGAGTAGTAGGCCCTCTGGCACAAGCCACGTTTTATTGCGGATTTAAATTTGTTAATACTCAACTCCTGAATATTATTTGGGATTTTATTATAAAATCGGACACATTGACCTCGAAAAGACTTGTTTATCTTTTGGAGCCTAGAGGCGGGTACAACAAATTTATTTTTATTTCTGGTATTTATGGCATGTACATCACTTTTTTTCAAAAAGCTATCTTTATTTTTGTGAACATATATTACATTTTCATAAATATATTGACTTGCCACTGTCATTATATTTATTTCTTTAAATTTCTGCCTCAATGAACAACGATTGCCTAAATTATAAAGTGCTCGAATAGCTCTCTTTTGCAGCACAAAAATAGTTTGAATGTCGGCAGCATTCCCCCACAGCAGAATACCGTACGACATTATGCTATGAAAGTAACTGAAGTAAACAAGTCGTGCTGTATCAACATCAGTCAACTCTCGGATTTTCCTTACAGCGTATGCTGCTGAGCTGAGTCTACTCGACAATTTATCAATATATATTGGCTACATTCTGGTCAATTCGGGTTTTATTTCCTAGGATATACCTGAACAGATCCATTTGAGTCAGAACAACGTGGGAATGCAGTCGGTTCGATTCCGTATCTCTTATGTTACGTTCGTCGGTAGTCGCTTACCATCTGGTGACATCGTCTGGTCGTATGTCCCCAATTATAAAAAAAACCCCTATTCCTCCATATAAGCTCGAACAGATCAGGGACGCATACCAAAGTGGATTTTGTCGGAAAATTTGAAATATAAATATATCTATAATATATCAGTTTATTAAAAGTATATTTCAAACCCCCCACAGGCTGCACCAAAGACATCCGTCATTTGGACCAACAGTCTGTCTGTTCAAACGTTGGTTGTCGAGCCACCTGCTGTCCCCGCCGCACTTCCCCGAATTAGTGGCCGAGCTGATGGTGGCGGCCGTGTTCCTACACCCTGAGCCCACGCAACCGCCCACTAACCCCACCGTTGGGCTAGTCCGAGTGTTGAGTAAATTAGTCGAGTTTAATTGGGCTACAGAAGTGATCGTGCTGGATTTCAATGGTGATATGTCTCGTAAGTACATAAATACCATATGTATATTATGTTTATTTTACTCACATACGCACAACCACACACACACACACAAACACACACAACCACACTGTGTATGTGTGCGTGTTGCCGCTGCATCTATTCTAGAATTATTCATGATTGGCCCGTTGGTTTAGTGGTTAGTGACCCTGACTGCTACGCCAGAGGTCGTAGGTTCGATTCCCACCCAAGACAAATAATTGTGTGATGAGCACGATCATTTGTTCTGTGTCTGGATGTACTTTATCTATAATATGTATGTATTTAGAAACATATAAGTATGTTTATCAATAGTCTTGCTATCATAGTACTAGTTTGGGATCAGACGGCCGTGTGTGAATAAATGTGTAAAATTATTATTATTATATTCAAATACATTCTAATTGCTGCTGAGTAGATTTTTGATTCACCGATATTATTAATGTTTAATAGGAGAGGAGATCACAAAAATGGAGCAGGATTTGTGTTCGAGCGAAGCCCGTCCCGCCGTGTGCATAGCGACGTCGCACGACGGCCCCCTCCCCGCGCTGTGTGGCCGCCCCGCCCCCTCCCCGCACGTGCTCGCCCGAGCCACCCGCCTGGCCACCACCACGCTCAGATACTTAGAGAACGCCATGCTGGCTGACACCAAGGATAATGTGTTGGTAAGTAATATTCATTACCGTCGCCGATCACCCCTTTTCATCCTGTAGGTGTCCTAAGAGCCGACTAAGGGAGCTAAATTTGACTGCACGGATGGCGTAGTGGTTTAAGCGGTCGCCACGCCGCTTCCTACTACGCCGAGTGTTGTGGGTTCAAACCCCACATGGGACGACACTTTGTGTGATCTACAAATTGTTGTTCTGAGTCTGGGTGTTCTTTGTGTCCGTTTCATGTATGTTTGTAAAGTCCCCCGCGACACAGGATTTATTCCTAATGCGGGCGTTGTCTTTTAAAAAAAAAGAAAAAAAAGAAATACGCAGGTCAAAAATACTGCAATTATAAGGAAAACTTGAAACAAACCCTATACCAACCCGTCTGGCCAGCGTGGTATAGTAGGCCAAAACCTTAATCTAAGCAGATGTCTATGTCCAGCAGTGGACTGTTAAAGGCTGTTGATGAAGTGATATTCGTATAGTTTAGTTAATGAAGGTCCCAAATGTAATACAAAATTCCAACATAGTGGTGTCTGTGATTAAATTAATATACCGATTAAATACAAATTAGACACAATTTATTCAAATTAATTACAAAAAAAACAGTAATCCTCAATTAAAAACAATTATCACTATATACACTTTTATATTTTACAGAAAATTAATGAAGTCAAAATCCGACCCCCTCTAGAAACTTCTAGAATATTGTCAAACACTGAAATGTCCATCGCTTCCTTTTCTAATCCATTTCTTTTCTCTTTTTTCTCTTTCTCTCATTCTATTAGTTCTACATATCTCTACTTAAAACAATATTACGATTGTCAACCGATTTCTAACATAACCATATTATTTTTATAAAATACTAATTGTAGTCCACGGTTTCCCCCACATTATGTTCGTACAATTACTTTTCGGCTGCCACAAGGTTCTATATACATGATATTCCTCTATATATATAAAGATATTTAGAACTTTATGAAAACTGTATTACAAATATAGTCAGATGACTACACCAAAAAATTAAAGTCAGAAACATTTCCTGTGTGTAGGGTATCTTCGTTCCGTCGTACTCCGGTTACGACGTGCTGATCCACCTGCAGCCGACCCTGGTCCCGCACCGCGCCGAGCGAGTGGACCAGCTGCCCCGACTCCGCAAGTTGCCCGAAGAACCCGCCGCAGACATCATACCCGTCGTGGAGTTCCATCCCGTCAAGAAATACTTGGACGAGTTGAGAGTAAGAGACTTTTATAACTTACCTAGACCAGGTGTTGGCGACGAGGTTTTTAAGATTGTCCAGACTCGGGGACTAATTTTGGATGGTGTTCACTTACTACACTTGATCAGGATTTCATAGCACTGAGATCGGTGTTATCTGTGTGGTATCGGATTAAGAATACAGAGTGTCACTACCCCTATTCAGCTCTTGGGTGTCGTAAGAGCCGACTTAGTGAGCAAAGTACAAAGGACAACAGCACTGCAAAGAGAAGGAGAACTTGAAACAAACCCTATACGAACCCGTCTGGCCAGCGTGTTATAGTAGGCCAAAACTTCCTTTCTAAGGAGAGATCTATGTCTAGCAGTGGACTAGTAAAGGCTGTTGATGAGATCGGTGTTTTTTTTAAATAATTATAGTTTCGGACATCCAACACACAACGCCATCTAGTTTCGAACTAAGCAGTACTTGTACTGTGAAAGCTAGATTGACTGATAGAATACTTAAATACTTTTTTTTTGTAAATACATACATATTATATAAAGATACAAACATTTGGTCCACTGAACCACCAACTAATCTTAGTACTCAAGTCACTAAGACAAGATATCCACTTTAAAACTTAATTTTGACGCTCAAAAAAAAGAACGCAATGATTTCATACGAAAGTCTGCGGTCAACTGGTCAATGTGAACTTGTGATGTGAACGTGAACTTGACTTTATCATTTTTGGAACCAAATGACCAACGATGCGTCACTATTTTCTTAACGCGAATGGACTGTAGCAATATTTTATTACGAAGACCTACTGCTAAACCATGACAGAGTAGAATGTAACTCTTCCTATGCCCAGAGCAAGCCCACGTCCAGCAACTTATTATAAGTCCCACAATTTTTCTTTTATAGAATTTATTTATAACGTTTCAGAGCGCGTACGGTGAGTTCGCGCTGTTCTTCCACGACATCTACGGGGGGGAGATCATCGCCGTGTTATGGAAACCTGACATACATGATTATAGAGAATTCCAGGTATGTACAATATTTTTCTTTTTACTAAATTTACCAAAACTAGCTTTCGCTTACGTTTTCGCTCGTATCAATGTAGATTTTCATCTTACGCTATCACTCGGGAGCGCTACCTTTTTTCTAAATGTAAGGTTTACCTATTTCCATGTCTTTATTACTTACTAGCTTTTTGGAAAAGCTAGTAAGTAATAAAAAAATAAAAAGTAGCCTATTATACTCGCTTATAATGTAGCTTTCCATTGGTGAAAGAATTTTTAAAATTGGTTTATTGATTTAGGCGTGAAAGCGTAACAAACAAACAAACTCACTTTCACATTTGTAAGTATGGAAGTATGGATATAATAAAGGTATGGAGATATGGATAACATTTAATGCAAAAATTTACAATGATCAGTTGTTTAGCACATAACTGTTGTGTTATTAGTTTTTTATACAATTAAGATGGCAAACAAGCTCTAGGCAACGCTGATTTGAAGTGGTTACGACGAATACTCGAGATTTTTTTTTCACCTTATCATACTTTGGTATAAAAAAATCGATATACAAGTGTACTCTTTTATATTTACCAGTTGACGAACGCGAATGCTTTGAAGCCAGTCACAGTGGACGGTGAGACGAAGTACAAGGTGAACATAGAAGCCATGGTGGAAGACTTCAGGATACTGGGGCAGGGGTTGGTCAAAGATGTAACCGTGCCTTGATAGAAATGTATACAGAGTAATGATAGAAATAAAATATTAAAAAAAGAAATTGTACTCATTTTCAAAAAGGACAGAAAGCAAGAACAAGTTACTTTGGCTTTCTCAGTTCTGCGTCTCTCTAGAGTTTTTTTTTTAAAGACAACTCCCGCATTAGGAATAAATCCTGTGTCGCGGGGGACTTTACAAACATACATGAAACGGACACAAAGAACACCCAGACTCAGAACAACAATTTGTGGATCACACAAAGTGTCGTCCCATGTGGGGTTTGAACCCACAACACTCGGCGCAGTAGGAAGCGGCGTGGTGACCGCTTAAACCACTACGCCATCCGTGCAGTCAAAGTCAATTTTTTTCTATACAACAACATTTTGTTAACAATATAAAAATAAAATATTATCAAAATATTTATTCAGCAACATTTTATTAACAATAAATAATAGTTAAACAAATAATACCTGTACATAACACCTACTTACATAAAGAAGTAATGGAAAATAATTCCCATTGATACTAAAAATATGGAATTACTAATGGATGCTTGGGAATTAGGCGATTCAGTAACTTCTTTGACGAAGTACGGCAGAGTGTCCAGCGGTGCTGGGTAGTTTCTCAGCCAGGTTGGACCTTCAACCGTTCTGTTGTGATCACCTTCCTCGAACCAGGTTCCTGCTGGGAGGTAGATGTCCCGAGAGGTGGCGCCCTCTGTCAGTATCGGAGCTACTAAGATAGTTTCGGCAAGGAGATATTCTGGAAGAAGGCAACAATTGAATTAGCATTATATTGCAAGAAATTTTTGTTGACTGTACTGTGGGTGTAGTGACTGGTAACCCTGACTGCTACGCCAGGGCCCTGCCAAAGTGTACCCTGGACAAATAATTGTGCGATGAACGTGATCATTTATCTATACCGGGGGGGACCCGCGCAACTTCGTCTGCGTCTCTCAATAGTAATAAATTTTCTCCGTTTTAAAACATTCTTCATTGGTGCTCAGCTCCTATTGGTCTTAGCGTGATGATATATAGCCTATAGCCTTCCTCGTTAAATGGGCTATCTAACATTGAAAGAATTTTTCAAATCGGACCAGTAGTTCCTGAGATTAGCGCGTTCAAACAAACAAACAAACAAACTCTTCAGCTTTATAATATTAGTATAGATATGTATGTATTTGGTAATATATAAGTAGGTTTATATCAGTTTTGCAGCAATCAGGCGAAATCGAACATTGTCACTGCTGCAGAGAATGCGAGGTAGTCCCAACCGTCTCCTGCTTGTCATTGCAGACAGACATGACAGTCCTACAATTACTTATATACGCCAATTAGATGTGTACTAACATAGTTATTAAGGTCAATTCAATACTAACAAATTATGGATATTCAAAAATAAAGGGATTATTATTATTATCAGCAGTCTCGTTACCATAGCACAGACTATGCCTAGTTTGAAATCTAGTTTATCTATGGTTTCTCAAATTGTCTAGGGTCTGATACAAATGGTTAGTTATTAATGAGGAGGGTGTTTACCATCCCAAATGACGAGTGCGTCTTCATCAGTGGGGTCTAGCCACCAGAGGGGTGCATTGACTGGTGTTCCATCACTGACAGCTTTCTCCATAGCCTTGATTATGACGTCAGCGTATTCAGCGTGCAGATCCACATACTTGCGGCTTATTTCTACTGTCTGAAATATTATGAAAATAATTTACAAATTGTCTGTTTGTAAAGTTCTTACGCGTTTATCCCAATCATATTTTTGGGTTAAGTAAGATTACATACTTTTTCATTCATGATTAGCTTTTTCAAAGGCAAAACCAACTAGTTAATATATGAATATTACCTCTAAGACGTCTTCGTGTCATTAATGATTATCTATGACAGTTACTATAATTAATACATAGTGGCAACACCAATTGTAGGCAATCTGTTGTTAATTACGCTAGCAAGTGTCAATTTACAAAATGGAAAGATAGCGTTGTTTTTTTTGTATTCTTAGAGCTCATTTTGTAAGTCACTGTTGTATAAGTAACATGTTTGTGTACATGTGTGCCAAAACCAAAGTATAGAGCTAAAAATGCCTTTAATTTAAGTCTTATTTGTTCGCAAAATGAATGCCTCGCAAGAATGGTTCGTTTTATAATTGAAAACTTTATCTCCGATATTACTTAACATGAAATAAAATCACAATCACCTGTTATAAATCATAGGATTGTTAATTATTTAATCACACCTGTAAGTAATAAATGCGATCCCCGGGTCAGACTATATGTTTGTATGATCTGCAAATATTTGGTTCGGAGTTTTCTATGTATAATATGTATGTATTTACAAAAGAAGTATATAAGTATTCTATCAGTCAATCTAGGTTGTATAGTACAAGTTTCGCTTAGTCTGAAACTAGATGGCGTTGTGTGTCAGATGTCCAAAAAAAATAAAAAACATCATGATTGTGATTTAAAGGAAGCAATAAATTCCATCACTAGTAGCTAGGCGTATTAAATGCCTGACTTTACCGACTATAATTTTGGTAGTAATAGGAGAAGCTGTTGCCGTCAACCGGACACCGAACCGGATAACCGGAATTAGATGGAAATTTTAAGAAGAGAAACTTCTCACATATAAAATAAATGTAAGAAGAGTATGTAATAGTTTTATTTTTGTAGAAGAACAATTTACCTCTCTCTACCTTTTACCTGAACCGAGTTGATTTTACTTCACACACCTTTCTATTTATAAAATATTTAACTGTATTACCAAGCTACGATTTTAAAGCAGAATTTTGATGTTTTGATTTCTTCTTTGATCTCACCTGGTTATCGAAATTCCACGGGGCAAAAGAAAACTGCATCACGGGCAAGAACGTATTGGCTTGAACCCATCGGATGAAGAGTTCTTTAGTTGGAAGGTCAGCTTGATCATGGTCCAAGTTGTATCCGTTCCCTCCGATCATGTCAGGCAGAACGAAAGGGTAACCGTTTAGGTTCATCTGGAATGTGGTCGTGATGATGGTGGGGAGGCCGTTGTTAAGTCCCCAAATGGAGTCTCGGTCAACCATTCGAGTGAATATTGGAAGATCTTGGTTCCTGTGAAGCAGAAGGCATTGGGGACTTAGGCCAAACAGAATGATAGCTGAAAACAAAGTATAATTTGATTGGCTTCTTAAACATTGACTTCTTCAGTAGAAGTTAATTTTGTGGTGGAAGATTTAAAATTAACTTTTTTGTTGGATTATATTAACCAAAAATAACCGATATAATATTAAACTCAGTGGTTGCAGGTTTGTAAACTTTCGGAGGAACTTGGCTGTGCTGGTAGGATTAAAAAAGGTACTGCTAATTTTACCTACCCACGCTACTAGTTCATACGAGAATTAAGAACAAAACCCACCACACATTCTTAGTATATCAACCCCAACGATTACGGCCAAACTAATTAATTTCTTCTGTAAAGTTAGCAGAAACATTTGATTTATTGGGCTTTTCTAATATTCAGATCCAAGATCCTCCTAATCAAACCATATACCTCAATATAACTGTTTAAACGTTCAACTTATAGCAAGCTGTTCAAACTGACCTGAAACCAGATCGAACTTCGATCATTTTGCCGAATCTTGCGCAAACCTTGGCGTATTCTTGAACTAGGATGTGGGGCTGGAGTTCGATGTCACCAGTTAAATCGGATATCTGAAATTCAAATATACGTTAAAACTAGCTGGTACCCGCGACTTCTTCGCGTGGAGTTTGAAAAGGGCTGCCTTAGTGGGTTCGATGCCTTAATAGGCAAAATTTTAAAGGGTTTTTTCTGAGAGGAAAAATAGCCTAAGTTATTCCTTATGTAGAGCTTCCTGGTAGTAAAATATTATCGAAATCGGTCCAGCCGTTTAGAAGATTACCCAGAAAAAACAGACAGACAGACAAAACAAATTTCAACTGGTTTTTACGCATCGGTATCGTGCTAATAACCGTGTGAGCATGGAAAAAAACCTCTAATTTTGACATTACAAACAGACACTTCAATTTTATTAATTGGTATATTGAACTATAGTTACTGGATTATCTATAATGATGGCATACTTTGCTTTTATCTCAGATCATTAACAAAAACTCACTGAGACTACCTTTGTACTAATCAAGTATAAGATTAAATAATAATAGTAATAATAAGTAATAATAGGTTTGACCTCTGGTGCAAAGCTAGCTTCTCCTGCGTCAATTTTGATGCTATCAATATCATAGTTCTCCAGAAGTGCAGACACCCGCAGGTACCACCATTCAGCTGCTCGAGGGTTAGTGAAGTCGATGTAGCCTGCCACAGTGCCATTGTTGTTCCACCATGTCGTGTTGGGGCTGCCTGACTCATCCAAAACGAAGAAACTACAATAAAAACGTTTTATAACTGATCTGTTGCTGAGTTACTCTCAACTGCGTTATTTATCTTAATGGGATAAAGTCCATTTCATCCAAAAAAGATTTAGTAACTGAAATGTAGAAATCGTGTCGTAATTATGAGTAGAAACAAAACATGTTTTCTGTCTAAATTCGTTTCTTGCTCCGTTGTAATAAATGTATAAAAAATCGTTTTTTGGTGATGGAAATAATCTATATATATATATAAGAGATTTCCACGTATATAGTCACTCATCACGATATCTCTGGAACCATTAGAGATAAAGATTTGAAATTTGGTAGGAATATTCTTTTCACCGAGTAGAGGTCAGCTAAGAAAGGCTTTTAAGAAATTCAAAAAATAATAATAATAATAATGTAAATAGCAAAACAACGTTTGCAGGGTCAGCTAGTTACTTAATATATAATGGTATGAGTTTTAGTGAAGTGAAATAGTCACTTCGCATTTCCTTGTTTTTATTATTATTGTGTATTCAAATTTCTGATTTCGTTTATATCACATTAAAATGTCGTATACTGACCCACTGTTTAGCGCTTCTGAGTACCAAGGTTCGCAATTTAGATTAATGAAAGGATGCACCCAGATAGTGACTCGATAACCAAGCTCCTTAAGACTTGATACTGTCCCACGGAAATCCGGGAACTTCTCCTGATTCACTGTCAAAGAACCGTAGCAGACCTCCCATTGATCATCAATTTCATATTGAGAATTGTTAAAACCGTTATCAAGAATTTGCTGTGCGAAATCTAGAAGTTTAGTTTCGTCGATATCTCTCGAGTACTGGGCCCATGTTGACCAGATCGGATGTCTCACCATAAGCTCATCAGGTATATCTAAAGGCTTGCCTAAATAATTATCGACTGCATGCTTGTGTGCTGATTTCACGTCTGGGAGAAACCAAATGTCGTAGGCCAATACTATTCTCGTCCTCCTATTTGAGTAAGGGTTTGCTATCTGGGCTCCGAAACAGAGATGGTTGTTGTAAAGATTTTTGTAGTCAACAAATAGAGGGACCTCGGAATGGACGTAGACGTATTCTCCTGCAGAGTTGAGCCAATATCTTTCCATGATGGCTCCGTTGTCTGTTTCTTTGTTATAATTCGCTGAGTAGGTCTGTGCAGCATTCTCAATTGGGTATAGTTGGTCGACCTGCATCGGTCCCGCGTACCAGTGATCAGTACCTTAAAATGAATTTTTGGAAAACCAATTAGAATTAATTTCATTTGCTATTAATTTGTTATATTAGCTTAAAGATTTTATTTCACAATGTACCCAACCAATGATTTATATTTTTAATAAAATCGATACAGTAAAATTACTCTGTCCTTATGGACAAAAATCTGCCTTTTTCATTGCCAATATGACTATAGATTTGACAAAATCGATATAATACCAAATACTCTTTAAAACTGTCACTTTTTGTTTTGTTGCTAAATACCTGTGATAACAGCACGTGCTTAGAAACTTAAACAAGCCGCAAACAATAAATTAGATAACGAAAACATTGTAGTTGATTTTGATCTAGAACATCAATGAATAGAAAGTTATTATGATTCATACAAATAAGATCAACAATATCGTCTAGTCCTTATGCTTTATAAACTTATTTCTGATACGGTGCTGTCCATTTAATGGATACAAACAACATCTAACATAAGGACAGCTTAAATCTTATACAAAAAAGTTTCGATAAAGTATTTTAGTTCTAAGTTTATTCACAAAATCTTTGTAGTTACCCAGGGACCGTAATTAGGTCCTCTACTTTTAAGGTTATTTATAATTAATAAGGACAATGATAAGAAATTAATCCAAAACGTAGAATCCTAAAGAAGAATCGAAAGAAGATGTTTAAATGCTTTAATGGTTTAAAGTATTAGAATTTTTGTCAGTCGTGTAGAAGCTTAGAAAAACAGCAACTACGACACAGGCAAGCATTTCATGCTACCTATTGATTCCTACCAACATTAAAACTTATATCCTTACCAAAATTAATACAGTCTTCAAGTCTTATTCCAGTTTCAGCAAGCCACGTGAACTTGATACCCCTAGCTTCTCTCTCTTCATCGTAAAGTGTATTTACTGTCAGATTCGTTGTGCCATAGCTTATTAAAGTACCACCTTCTATTTCTTCATCGACAAACGGAGAGAATAGAGTCCTTCCAATTTGTCCGAGAAGTTTTCGGTCGGCTCCTGAAGGTATTTTAACATGGTGGAAATTGCATAAATGAAAGGAGGTTGTAAAATCAGATACCTACGTAGTGTAGGTATGGTCAGTGTTAAATATTTTTGATGTTTATACTAAGACAATAAAAAAATACTCGCTCTCATAAAGCATATTCAACTATGAGTATAGCTCTAAGAATAGTTCTTCTGCAGGACACAGGAAACTTTGCAAATATTGACAATAAACACAAAGTAAATCTAGATCATTGGCGACTGTTTGATTGTCATCCAATTATTTATTTGTCATTGTCGGTATCGAACTTACAATACTACCAGCGAGGCCTGACACTTAAATCGTTGTACAACCCATTCACCGTATACCCAGAAACACTTCCCGAGCTGTCTTTTATGTTACAAGTGTGTGATGAGGTGGATTTATCTGTTTTTCAACAGACTAAATTACACTGAACACGAAAAGAAACGAAATTAATTATTATCACAGTTATAAATACCTATTTAGGTATTTAGCTATAGGTATTTAGTTTAATATCTTAAATTTTGCAAGACGTTCAAATCTTTTTTTTTGAAAATATAATCAACTAAAGAACTCTTGATAAACATTTCAAACGTCACAAGTTAAATCTTTAAATGTCGGATTTAAGAGCAAAACGAATGAAGAGATAACTATGATAAAATATCTCAAGTCTTGTTTATGCAAGTACGCTGGTTTTTGAGCTGGCTACTAATTTCAGTGTTTTTTTATGGTAAAGGGAGCAAACAAGCAGACGGGTCATAAGTGGCTACCGACGTCAATGCAATACCTACAAGACACCTGCAACTCTCTTGAGTTGCAGGTCTTGAATGATTGTCTTGAATCTTGATTTGACCACCGGTAACCTCATTTCGTCCGTGTGGTGACGGAGTAACAATACAGTGTCCCCCCCTTAGTCGGCTACTACAGCACTACTAACAACAGCACTGCAGAGAGAAGGAAAACTTGATACAAACCCTACAATAATACCCTACAATACCAACCCGTCTGGTCAGCGTGGTATAGGAAGCCACAACCTCTTATCTAAGGAGAGGCTATGTCCAGCAGTGGACTATTAAAGGCTGTTGATGAACCTCACACACTCGTTTAAAAGCTGTGAAAGAAAAGCTCAACAGCGGTTTTCTTCTAATTATTAATTGTGATTAGGAATTTCTAACATCTGTGTGTTTCTGCTTACCTACTCTTATCATCATCATCATCAATAGCCCTTAGTAAGGTTTGGCCTACTATACCACGGTGGCCAGACGGCCTGGCCTCCTTTTTAAGAAGAGGCCTATGTCCAGCAGTGGACTATTAAAGGCTGAATAACAAATTATAAGTACCTACTATCTTCCTTCTTCCATCATTGTCAAAAACGACCCGTTTTTGTCTCTCATGGAATGACTGACAATACATGTATTGTCACCAAGGACGTTTATTCCATATAAGTAAGTATATTTGTATAACTATGGATAGTGTGTTTTATGGAAGGTACCTACCGTTAACGAGGATAGCATTGAACCCTCCCGTGGTGACAGGTTCCAAGTTCAGTGTGGCGTCAGAATCTCGAGGGTTCTCCACGTACACTGTAGACTCCTGCGCTCTCGTCCCTACGGCTAGTAGGGCTGTTAACAAGTAAAGATGTGTGTTAATTATATTGTGTTTATTTTTACAATTAGAAAACAACATGGCGTCACTATCAGTCGAGCCTTTTCCTAAAGTATGATGGGGTCGGCTTTCAATCCACTGCAACATGATTGAACTTCGATTTTTGAAGTAAAACTTCTTTACCCATGCTTGACTTGGGGAGGTGAATGCGGTATGAGAGCGTTACGAAAGGTGTGATCTAGTGAGGCGTACAGAAGTTGAGAGGGAGACATAAGTTAGGGAAGATAGAAAGAGAGAGAGTTACGTTTCGTGTATTACTGTCGGGGCAAGAGAGAGAGGTGCGAGCACACATTTTGTTGCTTTCTTTCTTTTAGCTGAGAAGTTTTACTTCAGTCGTGTGGTCTAAAGCACCCTCGTTTTTTTAAGTGGAGCGACTGTCTTCAGATCTGCATAACCCAAGTATTAGGCGAAGTCCAAGTTCTGTAGAAAGCCCGTTGTTGACCCTATTAGGTCTCCAACTACCCATGACGATTGCCACAGATTTGACAACCAAAACAAAAAAAACACCGCACGGATTATAACAAAATTTATTAGAGAAATACCAGACAGTAACGTAAATAAATAAACTGTAGTACTTGTAAGTGCATGTTAGATTGTAAAAACATTGATACCAAGGAAACATCCTCATACTTTTTGATTGAATAATAATAAAAAAACAATAAGTACATTTTTAAGAGCTCTTAAAAATGACATTTCTGAAAACGAAATCTTTAAATTATTGGTTTTATTGTTGTTGATCATATTGGTTGTTTCAAACTTCAATGTTTTGAGAAATTATATGAAATAGCGTGTATGTGTACAGAACAACTTTTACTTCCACAACTGTACATAGATACATACTTAATCGTAAATTAAATATGTAAACCGATTAGATAACTTAGGTGTATTATATTGACCGTGTGGTGAAGGATTAAGAATATAGAGTTCAACCAATCGTATTAATCCCGTGGGTGTCGTAAGAGCCGACTAAGGAAGTAAACTACGCAGGACAACAGCACTGCAGAGAGAAGGAAAACTTAAAACAAACCCTACACCATCCCGTCTGGCCAGCGTGGTATAGTAGGCCAAAACCTCATTTCTAAGGAGAGGCCTATGTCCAGCAGTGGACAACACTAGTAAAGGCTGTTGATGATAATGTTTATGAGTTGTTAATAAATATTATCATCATACACTTACGCCTTTATCCTTGAAAGGAAGTATTGAAACGCAAACTTTTACCGACCTATTTCTTAGCGTTCCATGGGTTCAGCGTGCGCGTGCTGGGTCCATCGCGTGATAGATGGGGCAACACTTACGACTTTCCTCAGCGCCTGGGAATTCATCATCATCATCATCATCATCAACAGCCTTTACTAGTCCACTACTGGACATAGGCCTCTCCTTAGAAAGGAGGTTAGGCCTGGGAATTGCGACCCAGGAATAGGTTTAGGGACTGCTAGCGACGAGCCTAGCAATACCGCTTTGGATATTCGTTGAAGAAAAAAGCTTACTGAAGCTCTTCTCAATCCAAGGTCCTTAAGTAGGTTATAGAGGGATTTAGCTGGTATTCCCTTCGCACCTACTTCCACGGCATACAACGTAACGAAATAACCATTTCTAGTTATTTTATTGGTTAAGTTAAAGTACCTACTTGTTTCTTTTAAAGCGTAGTCTTTAGGATGTTCGTTTCCCATAGTACCGTGAGTTCATAAAGGAACATAAAGGAATATGTCTGGTCTGGACACCGAGGCACAGATAGCCTCCGGTATATTCATACTCCGTTGTGATTTTAGTTCCACTACCGTATAGGACCTATGGCCGGTACTGGGCACATATGTCTCTAAATAAACAGACTTATATATTTTCTAAATACATACTTATTAAAGATAAATTACTACTAGATATAGAACAAATGATCATGAGTGGCACAACATTTGTCCATTTTTTTTTCCGTGCGGAAATCCCCTCGGATACCACCTATCGGTGGCATGTCGGACTCGAACCGACTAAAACCGCACGCCGTCTCGGGTACTAATAGCCGGGGAATCAGGTATACCCTAGATAGGAAGTCCCTGGTGCCCCGACATACCTTGGGCCATCTACAACAAGTAGACGACCCCCCCCGTGTTCCCACACGGGGGGGGTCGTCCCCATGTTCCCAGTGATCACCTGCGTCAGTCGGTATGAGAGGGTCCCGCGACGCCTCTCGAGCCCATCCTCCATAACGGGTCTTACCGCCGCAATGACGGCATGCACGACAACATTTGTCCTTAGACCAAATTGAGCCCAAACTCCTCTGATTTGCCAGTCAGAATTGCTAACTATTAGACGTAACGTATACTTGTGTGTGGCCGATTATTTGTTTCGTGCCAGGTTCTAATTCATCTATAATATGTATGTATTTAGAAATATATAAGTTTGTTTATAAGCAGTCTGGTTACCATAGTACAGCCTCTGCCTAGTTGAGGATCAGGTGGCCTGTGTGATATGTGTAACGTGTACTATTATTATAATTTACTTATAAAAATGCCAGTAACTCACCCACAATTGTCAATAAAACCGCCATCACCTATCACCACTTGTCACCGAGTGCCAAAACCCCGTGACAACAAACACTTGAATCGATAACGGTATCATTTTGCAATTTTATCTTTCCATCTTGTTCAATCCTCATCCGTGTATTGTTCACTGAATCTTTTAGATAACTCTAGATGCTGCTGTTGAGATAAATGCATGTCAAAGGAATGCCTAACACTTATGTCGGTCGGTATAACACATTTTAAGGTCAGAAGAAATATGTTTGTCTGTTATAAAATGTAATATATCCTGTCATCATAATCATCATCAACATCCTTTAAAAGTCCACTGCCGGACATAGCCCTCTCCTTAGAAAGAAGGTTTTGGCCTACTATACCACGCTGGCCATACGAATTGGTAAAGGGTTTGTGTCAAGTTTTCCTTCTCTTTGCAGTTCTGTTGTCTTGTAGTTTGCTCCCTTAGTCGGCTCTTACGACACCCACGGGATGTCTAAGGGTGGTTACACTCGATATACTTAATCCATCACCACACGAATACACACCACCTACTCTTATAGTCTTGTATAAAAATATAATATAATTAATATATGTTTTAATATAATATATTTATAATATAATATATTTATTTATTTCTCCTCACAAAAAGCATTTCCTTAACAATCATCAAATTTACATACAGTGATGCATTAAACTCCTATATAGTTTTCTTCAACCAAGATTCATGTATAAACTAGGACATGGTCTCATCATCTCAGCCGAAAGACGTCCACTGCTGGACATAGGTCTCCCCCAAGGTACGCCACAACACCTACCCACGAACCATCTTTCGGCACGTGGTCGCCACTCGAGATCTTTTCGGTCCCATCGGCCATCGTTCCTGCGAGCAATGTGTCCCGCTCACTGCCACTCGGGGAATGTCGGTGACCTTGGCTTATTGGGGGATCACCTCCTTTTTTATGTGATCATGCAGACAAACTCTGAGCATTGCCCTTTGGGTGACTTTAAGCCTTCTTATGGTGCTAATTTTACAACGTTATTGCATGCACTTTGACCTTGGTAAAGTTATGTTTCGGTACATATGAGGCTTGACCGGAGTGATACCACGGCCTCACAGAAAACCGCAGTTAAACCATTCTTTTGTTGCTATATTCTATTCTATATGTCCTTTCCTATTTCTGGGTTTGGGAGACTAGAAGGGCGGCACAGCACTCTGTTACTCTTGAGTTGCAAGTGTTCATAAGCGGCGGTAATCATATACCATCAGGTGACCCGTCTGCTCTTCTGCCCCAAAAACAAAGAAGCCATTTAGAAATATTTTTTTGTTTGGCACTAAAACAAAAGGTGTTGAAGTAATGTTCAGTTAACATGCTGATCGATAGGTGGCGTTGTACCAAAGTCATAAAATTAAATTTCAGTGTTAAGAGTCTCCGTAACACTGGTGAAATAGTTGATATATTCTTAATTATTTTTTAAGTCTTTGAAAAGTAGATAAGTCATCCCTTGGACGAAAGGACATTAGGTTTATAGCCCTATAGGGTAGATTTGTAGACTCTCCTGTATAATGTAACTATTGTACGATTAATACTATTTTCATTATCATCATGTTCCACCATAACAAGAAGTAATCATGAGTACTGTTCGTATCATAAAATAATGACGAAACGCTGATGTTTCGTTGATTTGACCAGACTATATTATAAAGTGACCGACCATTTTAAGAAATACCCATATTTCTTATCGTGTGGTGACAGATTAAGAAAAGAGAATGTCAAGACAACTATTCATCCTGTGCAATTTGACACAATCCCTATACGAACATGTCTGGCCAGCGTGGTATAGAAGCCAAAACTTCCTTTCTATGAAGAGGGCTATATCCATTAGTGGACTGTTGATATGAATTTAAGTGGTCGTTTTCTTGACTGTTTTTAGACCAAAATATAATATAAAATATATTTAATTGTTCTCTCTCACACAGATATGGTTACAATAAACAATCTTACTCTAGGTTATTTTGAGTGAGTCTGTGTGAGAGACTGGTATCTGTACTAGGTTCGTAGACCTGTATGACAAATTACCAGCCTCCCCTAGCTCTGGACAGTTGTGGTGCGTTAAGCAGGTACAACCTGTTTAGGAGTGAGTAGTTATTATTATGTGAAGTGAATGAGAACGCATAGTATGTGAATGTGTGTATATGTGGGTGTGTGTGTAGCGTGTGTGTAGGGGAGTGGGTGTGTAGTGTGGTTTGAGTATATGTGTGTGTAAATGTAAAATGTACCATACCTCAATTAAAATAGGAAATTAAACATGGTAAGATAAGAAATGTATTGCAGGAAATTGCGTTTGAGTAAAACTTGACAAGAGTATTTCACTCTTGTGATATTCCACTACAAGTCTACATTAATAGTCTTATAGTCTTAGTCTTTTTAAAAAGACAACTCCCGCATTAGGAATATATCCTGTGTCTCGGGGGACTTTACAAACATACATGAAACGGACACAAATAACACCCAGACTCAGAGCAACAATTTGTGGATCACACAAAGCGTCGTCCCATGTGGGGTTTGAACCCACAACACTCGGCGTAGTAGTAAGCGACGGTGTCATCGGCGTGGAATCACTTTAATGAAAGCTGTCATAAATTTCTGGGTTATTAAATTACGAAGAAAAAGAAGCTATTTGGTCATCTCATGAGATAACCAGTATAGACTTTATCCTCGTACTTCTCCACTATGGTGTATGGGTCCTGCTTACTAAATTATTCTCTCTTCTCTGTCGTGTCGCCCTTGCCAGAGCGGTCGTGGTCACTTTGAAATATATAATATATATATATTCTACCACATACACACAAGACCATCTAGTCCCAAAATAAGCAGAGCTTGTACTATGGGTACTAGACAACTGATATAAATACATATATACTTTTTTTTTTGTAAATACATACATATTATACATAGAAACACCCAGACCAAATCAAACATCAAATGTTCATGCACACAAATGTTTGACTTGAGCGGGAATCGAACCCCCCCTTTGGAATAGCAGTCCGTTACGCAAACCACTACGCCATCCAGTCGTCTAGTGAAATGTCCACGTGAAGTAATTATTATTTTTTATTATTTTACTTAACCTTTTGTTGTTATTTTAATTAAATAATATTGCAAATACTTTGTGATGACGGATTAAGAATACAGAGTGTCACCACCCCTATTCGTTACGTGGGTGTCGTAGGAGTTCGACTAACTGAAAAATTACACAGAACACCAGGTCTGCAGAGAGACGGAAAACTTGACACAAACCCTATACCAACCCGTCTGCGTGGTATAGTAGGCCAAACACTGTTAAAGGCTGTTGATGATGATGATGATATAAAAGGAAAAATCGAACTCAATGAATAAATAATAATTTATTATTCTTACAAGTTATTACATAAAAATTATTCAATCTTCCAACACGAAGTATGGCAGTGTATCCAAGGGCGCTGGGTAATCCCTTAGCCAGACTGGACCCTGGACCAGTTCTCCAGTCTTGCCATCGCGCCAGTTACCGCGGGGCAGGTAGATGTCACGAGCCACTGCACCTTCTACCATCACTGGGGCAGCCAACACTTTCTCTCCCAAAAGGAATTCTGGCGAAAACATATATTTCGTAAAATGTTAAGTTTATCTAGGGTTCTTGTAAAGTCACTAAATAAAATTTGGAATCTCTATATTCTCGGTCTATTTGTTATCCTTTATTTTGCAATGGAAGACGATTTCAAACAATTTTGTAAATTTTATGAAATAAAGAAAGTTTGAGTTTGAGTTTGAGAATGCTTGTGAAATTTTAATTGACTTATGCAGCAATATGTGCCAAGTGCACGCGACTAGCGTTAATGATAACCAAAATAAAACACGTAATTTAAAGAGTTTATGAATCGTAAATAATGTTTTGTAAGAGAAAATAAAAAATATTAAAAAAATAGTTGAAAAAAAAACTAAAAAAACACGCTTTTGTTAGAAACCCAAGCAAAACAATAGAAAATAAATTTTAATCAATTTGAAAAAAAAGCGTTGGGTGCCTGTTGTCAATAGTAAAAAGCACCCCACGCTTTTTTTCACTTTATTTTTATTTTTAATTAGTGTATTGTCACCTGTCCTCGATATATCTACAAAGTTTGAACGAATTCTGACCGTTTAAAGTCAGTCAAAATCACACCTAAAGGGGTCGGTTACAAACAAACATACATAATATACAAGTAAAGCTAAGTAAGGCACGAGGCTGTCTGTTTAATTGTTTACTTTTGATTTCTTAAACAAAATCTAAATAGAACAAAATTAACTTTCATAACACGCTCTCAGGTGATAAACGGTTATAATTACACTAAAACACTTTTGTAAATGTTCATTAAAAAATAAAGTTACCATCATCAACGGCCAAGGCGACTTCGTCGAGAGGGTCGACCCACCAGATCGGGGGGTTCACGGGTGTGCCGCGGGCAACACTGGCTTCCATCGCGGCCTGGATCTCCGGAGCGTACTCGGCGTGGAGCTCTGTGTAGCGGAGGCAGATTTCTACTGTCTGTAAAAATGGCCGTCTTTGAAGATCAAGAAAATAGAACCATATACCCAAATCACTTTCAACACTATTAAGTGTTAAGTGCCATATTACCGTTTAGTTGAGTTCTAATCACGAACAGAAAATTCACCTGAATACCGCTGACTGTTGATATTGGCAATTTAAAAGACACGAAGGCGATGTGGCTTTGAGTGCCCCCTCCCCTAGAGTTGTTTTGTTTCCCCCTATTGTTCCTACCTACCCACTCTTTTGCTGTGAAGCCGCGGTATTCTCCGGTCGAGCCGGCCCAAATACACCAAAGGATTTACATATTTATTACTCTCTCTCCCAATCCTACTATTTACTCTACTTGCTGAGCCATAATCATGTAGATAATGAATGTTTTCGTTGAAAGTAACTACAAATCGAAAATTTAGATACCAGTTTAGGAGATTAGGCTTTTTTTTTCTACTTTAGATTCTAATTAAATCTGTCGTTGTGGAGGAACGGGTGTCATGTCCCTCCAACACAAAGGGAGGATCCTCCTACCAGGCGAGGTGATGTTGCCTGGCGGGCCGAGGTCCAACGGTTGATGTTGTTAAGTTGTATATACGAGTATGCTAATCGGCGAGAGAATTCTTCATATCGCGATACAGGATTTGCAATTCTCATTCAGAAGTTACTCCTTAGTTCGGTATGTCTTCGTTAGATGGCGTTGTAGTATGTTTCTTTGTTTCATCGTATGTCGAAGTCGCCACAGTCGTCATCACGGAAGGTGAAGAGGATTAAAAGTTAAAAAAAAAAAAAAAAAGTTTTAAAAAACTAAAGAACACGCTTTCTATAGAAAACCAAAGTAAAAAATAGAAAATAAATTTGATTATTTTTAATTTGGTTTTTTAGTTTTTTAAAACTATATTATTATTTTTTTAATTTGTGTATTGTCATCGGACCTCGATATATCTACAAAGTTTGAACGAATTCTGACCGTTTAAAGTCAGTCAAAATCACGCCCAAAGGAGTCGGTTACAAACATACAAACAAACATACAAGTGAAGCTTATATAAAGCGTGTAAAAATACTTGATTGTATTTATCTTTAAAATACGTCAAATCATGATATTAAAGTGCTAAAGATCGCTTTAATATTTCTGGCAATTATAATCATCAGCTCTAAAGAAACACAAATACGGTATAAATATAGGCAGCAGAATCAAAATAAGGAAGAAGATAGAACCTTACCTCATCATCATGATCCCACGGCACGAAGGAGTACTGAAGCGTTGGCATGAAAACATTAGCTTGGAGCCACCTGATGAATAACTCCTTGCTTGGCGATTCGTTGTATCCATTGCCTCCGATCATGTCAGGAAGCACCAAAGTGTAGCCGTTCAGGTTCATGGAGAGCAGAGTAGTCACAAGGGTGGTCAAGCCGTTGTTGAAGCCCCAGTAGGTGTCTTTGTCAACCATTCGTACGAGTACTGGGAGATCTTGAGTCCTGAGAGAGAAGTAGGTGCATAATTTAATAGCAGAAGCTATTGGAACTAGAATTGCGTCTCGTAATTACTTCAGAGGACAAATTATAAATTATCAAGAATGAGGAACTCACTAAGGATATATCGATGTAGCAGAAGGACTTCTCCTATTAGTCCAGGCAAGTATAGTAGATGTACTGTTTCGTTATAAATACATAACTGTATATATAAAAACGGATACCAGCTGGATACGAAACTCAAGTTTTCGGCTAAGTCACTATCAATAGGTGTGACTTTGAAAGTACAGTTGATACACAAAGATATAAAGATCGTCAAACAGCGCCTTTTAACTGCTACTAATATTAGTTTCCTACCTTATATTATACTAATTTATTTTATTTTAGTAAAGTACAATGAGTAGTGAAATATAAAGATCTACAAGATTCGACACGCGTACACATCTTGCGGATTTTCGTCAAACTCGTCATTAACAATCATCATCAACAGCCTTTAATAGTCCACTGCTGGACATGAGCTTCTCCTTAGAAAGGAGATTTTGGCCTACTATACCACGCTGGCCAGACGGGTTGGTATAGGGCTGGGTGTAATCTGTTACGCAGACGATACCCTCGTGACAGCCCGGGGGGCAAACTTCCAAGAGGCGGCGCGCCTGGCCACAGGGGGAGTCTCCCTGGTGGTCGGGCGCATTGAGGCGCTGGGCTTACGGGTGGCCCTAGATAAGACGGAGGCCCTGTTATTCCATGGGCCCCGTCGTGGTCCACCCCCTGGCGCCTCAATCGTGGTCAACTCGGTCCTCGTACCGGTTCGGGCCCAGATGAAATATCTGGGCCTGATCCTCGACGGGAGGTGGCTCTTCGACGAGCACTTCCGACAGCTTGCTCCAAAGCTGGTCGGCGCTGCGTCTGCCCTAGGGCGACTTTTGCCCAATATGGGTGGACCCAGCGTCGCGACAAGACGGCTGTACACGGGGGTTGTCCGGTCAATGGCACTGTACGGTGCACCGGTGTGGGCGGCGGCTCTGACCGCCCAGAATAGGGTACGCCTCTGGCGCCCTCAGAGGGTAATGGCGGTCAGAGCCATACGCGGTTACCGCACCGTTTCGACGGAGGTGGCATGCGCATTGGCCGGAACTCCCCCGTGGGATTTGGAGGCGGAAGTGCTCGCCGAAGTTTATCGGCGAGTGGCTGACTCCCGGGCGGAGAGCGGATTTCGCCCGGAAGCCGCTCGCCGAGCCACGATGGCTCGTTGGTCGTTCCAGCTGGAGACTCCACGCGCTGGCTTCGCCGCCGTGGAGGCTCTCCAGCCGGTCATCGCCGAGTGGGCAGGGCGGCAGCACGGGACCCTTTCCTTCCGGCTGACGCAGGTGCTTTCCGGGCACGGTTGCTTCGGAAAGTACCTGCACACGGTCGCTAGGAGGGAACTGAGTCCCGCCTGCCACCACTGCGACTGCAGTGAGGACTCGGCCCAGCACACGCTGGCGGTCTGCCCCGCATGGGCGGCGCAGCGCCGGGCCCTCACTGCAGTCATCGGAGTGGATCTCTCGCTACCGGCCGTAGTACGCTCCATGGCCGGTAGCGACAGTTGTTTTACCGCGGTCGCAACCTTCTGCGAGGTAGTAATCTCGCGGAAGGAGGCACGGGGAGAGGGCCCGGGAGGACGACCTCCACTCGGACCCGATCCGCCGCCGGCGAACCGGGCGGCGGAGGCCCGCCTACCACAGCCTCATGCCGCCCTGAGTGTGGCCGCGGGTGGACGGGGTGGGTTTCCCCTCCACCCGCATTAGTTTGGCCAGCCGCGAGGGGGCGGCGTCCGCGTGTGCCGGACGTCGCCTAAAAAGAGAGGAAAAACATCGAGACGGAGCCCGCACCAGGAGCGGGCTGGCGCTAGGAGGGGTCCGGATGTCTTAACAACAGCTGTTCCCGGATCCCTCCTGTTACAGGCGCAGAGTGGCACACCGTGTGGTTTTAGTCGGTCCGAGTCCGACACACCACCCCGCCGCAAACCCCGGAGGGGTGACGGTCCGAGGGGATTTCCACACGTTAAAAAAAAAAAAAAAAAAGGGTTTGTGTCAAGTTTTCCTTCTATCTGCAGTGTAGTTTTCTCCCTTAGTCAGCTCTTACGACACCCACGTAATGAAGATGGGTCTGTGTGGTGACGGATTAAGAATACAGTGTCAACACCCCTAGTGTTGACACTCTGTATTCTTAATCCGTCACCACACGGACCCGTCAAGTCACTAATTTAGTATAATTGGAAAAGTTGTTAATTATACTGGTCCTTACCCCATCTTGTTCTTTTTATGCATTTAAAAACATAAAGGAAAAAGTGTTAGTAGTAGTAAAAAGTAAAAGTGTAAGTTTACCTCATTCCAGCTCTAATTTCAATCATAGGTCCAAACTCGGCGACTGCTCTGACGAAAGATTGTACGATGTGACCGGGGTGGAGGTCAATGTCGAAGCCTTCCTGCACTGGGATCTGGACAAACAAAGTTTGGAATACATTAATCTACACTCCGTAATGGACGTCCTTCAAATAAAGTGATTTTTTTTAAGTTAAAAGTTATATTTAAAAGAAAATGATAGTTAACAAACAGTAAATCTTACACACAGCCATCTGATGCCAAAGGGCAGGCAGAGTCTGTACTATTCTCGTAGTAAACAGGCTGCTAATAAGCATACCAACATATTATAGACTAACTGATTTAGAATTTGAAAAGCGCTGTCTTAGTGGGTTTGATTCCTGTAGCAGGAGAAATTTTATAGGGTTTTTTCTGAGATAAAAATATCCTTAGTTACTCCTTGTATAGCAAGCTACCTGGTAGTAAAATATTATCAAAATTGGTCCAACCGTTTTAAAGATTACCCGGAACACACAGACAGATATACAGACAGACAAAAAATATTTAAACTGGTTTTTAGGCTAAGGTATCGTGCAAATAAAAAATTGACGGGGCTGTTGGCATAGTGGTTAGTGAACCGGAGGTCGTGGGTTCGATTCCCACCCAGGACAAATATTGTGTCATAAAACAATTGTAATTAATACAATAAAGGTAATTAATGGCTCAATTATATATAGATTAAAAGATAACTTATAAATAGGTAAATATGGGATTTCAACGTTACTATCGATTTTGTTAAATTTTCTTGGTCAAGGAATTATCAAGAAGATACGAGTCGTTAGAAGCCGAACAGTGACAATAAAAGCGAGTAAATGGAACAGCTAGTAACGAATATCGTTTCAAACAGGTGATTGAGTACCTGGGGGGACCAGCTTGACTCTCCAGCGTCGAATTTAATGGAGTCGATGTCATATTCCTCCATGAGGTTGCGTACTCTGTCAGTATACCAGGTGGCTGCTTCTGGCTTGGTGAAATCGATGTAACCGGGAACAGATCCGTTGTTGTTCCACCAGGAAGAGTCTGGGCTGCCTTCCTCATTCAGAACCAGGTAGCTAAAGAAAGAATTCTAAACTTTGTAATCTGGTTTTGAATATTTTGTTCTATATTGTGAATACACACACATATACACACATCCCTTCTGTATCCCTAAAGAGGTAAGCAAAGGCGTATTAAACATGTACAGTTACCTAACGAGATATAATATTTTCCTACTTACATAATTACTTACTTAATAATAATAAATTGAGGGTGTATTGAAAAAAAAAGATAATTTTATGTACCTATATGATATAATGTAAGTACATAAAACTTTTGGTACCCTTGCGGCGGCCCCATTACTTGCGTAGAATGCCCCAAATTACAAATTTTCATCCCCTATTTCACCCTCTTCTTTTATTTTCACGACAAATGAAAAGTTTTATCCTATTTGATACCTTAGAATAGGATAAAAGTTTTATTTCCCTCAATCTTTATACCATAAGTCTTTAAAAAAGTGTGTAGAGGTTTAGCGTAAAAACTAAATAGACAAATAAAAATTACTATCACATTTATAATATATCTGAAAAATTAGTTTAGCCATAGTTCGATACATCTCTTCCCACTCCTTCGGAGATATAATCAGGCATGTTATTATTCGAATATAGTTTTGAAATTGAAGAGAGAGAATGAGAGAGAGAGAAATTGAAATTGCACGATAGAGAAAATTTACTTACCCTTTTTCCAAAGCTTCAGAATACCAAGGATTACAGTCCTTATTGATAAAAGGATGAACCCAAATGGTCACCCTGAATCCTAGCCCCTTAATGTCCTGGATCAACTGCTTGAGGTTTGGCAGTTTCTCTTGGGATACGGTCAAAGATCCGTAACAAATTTCCCAAAGATCATCAATTTCAAACTGAGCATTGGGATAGCCGCTGTCTTTAATTTCGTTGGCGAATGCCCAAAGGCTCTCTTCAGTGATTCCTCTTGAATATCTCGCCCAAGTTGACCAGATTGGATACTGGATCATTCTGTAGTCGGGAATACCACTGGGCTTGCCCAAATAATTGTCAACAGCATGTTGGTGCGCTGTTTTTGCATTGTCAAAGAACCAAATTTCATATTTAAGGTTATTGTGAGTACGTTTCTTGGAGTAGGGGTCTTCAACTTCAGCAATAAGACACAAATGATTGTTCAAAGCATTGTGGTAGTCAGCGAAGAGAGGAACTTCTGGTGCTACGTAGATGTATTCACCGGCAGAGTTGAGCCAGTACCGTTCACTAATAGCTGCGTTATCCAATTCTTTTGAAATGATTGAGTACTTTTGCAGATTTGATTTCTGGACGGGCCAGTATTGTTCCTTTTGCTCTGGGCCCGCAAACCACTGCTTGTCACCTGGTCAAAGATTGAATTTGTGATTAGGGATTATAGACAGAAAGCTGAAAAGCTCTCCAGATAAAATAGCTTTTTCCCCTAAAGACATAAAAGGAAAGCATGTAGTAATTTAATAGTTCAAATTATTCAATATCAAGTCAAGATAAAATGACTGAGATAAGTATTGACATCGGTAGAAAATATATCAGATAAAAGATTTAACTCCGAAATAAATAATCTCAAATACTCAGCGGGTTTCTAGAAATCTCTCAAAGAATTTATGTCATCTGAATTACGTAATTCTATATTGTTTAGATGTTATAAGATTATGCTGGAAAGATATGTTGTTACACAACATAAAATTATAGATTAATTTGTTTTGCAAATAGATCTTTTCACACACTTTTACACGTTGATTAGTTCTTTTAACTTATCTACTAGATGGTGCCGAGAAAAAACGTCGAAACGAATTAAAGGAAACACGTCTATCAATCGAACTGTTTAAGTAATTTTATATTTGTGTATTCGTTAAAAGTAATACCTACGTAAAAATGTCTTTGTACCAATTTTGAAACAAATAGGGTATGGAGCAAAGAATATTATATTTGGAATTCTTAATGTTGATATATAGAAGAAGTGCAGAAAGCTAGAATTTGTTAATAATTTGTGCTATTAACTTAAAAAATTAATATGTACATTAAACTATAGACCTTAGAATAGAGACTTTTGACCTCCAGTGATACAAAGTAATAAGACAATAATAAACGGAATTAAAAACGGCTTTATTTTCCTAACGATGTTTAGTATAAAAATGGAGCTAATTTATCAGCCATAGTGCAAGTAATATCACTAATAAGAATAATATCTAATAAGGGTTTTAAAAAGAGGAACATTTAAGTATCTAATCAGTCAAAAATATTTTAGAAATATTTGTCAAATAAAATAAGGAACTTTGTTCCTATCGGATGTCCCACGACACCACACGGCCCTTTTAATTATAATATATTCTTTTAAAAGGTCAATGTCTTTATTAAGTAGTAATAAGACCTTTACAGCAATATATCTTAGTCACGTCTTGGTTTGACGAGAACCTGCCTACCTCCTAATCATTAACCTTGTTAGGTGAGGATCCGTGTTGGATACGACAAGTAAAGTTGTCGCAGAATTTAATTCAATTTGTTTTTTTTTAAACTATAACCATTACCGAAGAAATAATACTATGAATGTTATGAGTAAATAGGAACTAAAACTGTTCACATCACATCAACAGCCTATACTAGTCCACTGCTGGACATAGGCCTCTCCTTAGAAAGGAGGTTTTGGCCTACTATACCACGCTGGCCAGACGGGTTGGTATAGGGTTTGTTTCAAGTTTTCCTTCTCTTTGCAGTGCTGTTGTCCTGCTTAGTTTGCTCCCTTAGTCGCCTCTTACGACACCCACGGGATGAATTGGGGTGGTGACAATTTGTATTCTTCACACGGACACTGTTCAATCAGTGGAATATGTAAATTATAAGAAATGTTCATTTTTTTTCCTAAACTTAAAAAGTTGATAGCCTCTATTATTATCTATTCAACTAAGTAATTCTATTGTTTTTTTTTTTATTTTTTTGATTCACACAATCCAGTATTTGCATTATTCGTGTCGTGATTAAGAATACGGAGTGTAACCACCCCTATTCATTCCGTGGGTGTCGTAAGAGTCGACTAAGGGAGCAAACTACGCAGGACAAAAGCGATGCAAAGAGAAGGAAAACTTGACACAAACCCTATACCAACCCGTCTGGCCAGCGTGGTATAGTAGGTCAAAACCTCCTTTAAGGGGCCTATGTCCAGTATGGACTATTAAAAGCTGTTGATATGTGATGAAGAATATTGTCATTTATTGTTTTTCATTAGTAGCGAAAAAATTAATTCAACGTCATCTAGTGAAGATAAGCTATATTACGTAATTACTATTGATAGTCTATTGTTATATGAAACATCTTACGCTTCTAAGTCTATATACTCGTACAACTGTTTTCACAGGAGTATCACTTGTAGCTTTTTTTTTTTTTTGACGGGGTGGAAAATCCCTTCGGATCTCCTGCTCCTCGGGGCTAGGAGCTAGGAGTATGTGGTGATTCCACTAAAAACCACCCCGACGGCCGGCCTCAGGTGCCCTACTCTGGGAGGACCCGGACCATGATATTTCAGGTCCTATCACTTGTAGCTTGCTCGGAGAATCTTACCTTTAGTTGGGGGAATTTTCCCTTTATTAGTTTCCTTAAATGCCTTTAATACTTACCAAAGTCAATACAATCTTCAAACACCCGGTCACTAGGCCCGTCCCAGTGAACGGACAGTTTGTATCCACCACTTGCTTCATCGTAGCTGTAATCGTGGTTGAAGACTACTTCGCTGTCATCAGCAGAAGCCTTGCGACCGAGGTGGGCTCTGAACTGTTGTCCGGAAGCTGTGCAGCAAAAATATTACAAATAAACATTTAACTCTTAGAACATAATATTTTGACGCAAATAATGATTTTTCTTTGAACCCAAGGGACTACAAATCACGTAGAGCAAGGTAAATGAAAAGATAGGAAGGCAGTCTGCCAATGGCTTGGGGGAGGGCTGTCACAAGACAGCCAGAACTCAAACTGATCGAGATAGCTGATACGGTATTATCACATATTTAAGTTTTTTTTCTATCCCTTTAAAACTGCACTATTCTGGATGAAAGTTGTTGTCTCCAAGCGACAGAGGGTGCCTCTATTCTTTTCTATAACCCCTGATTGCGTTTGTACGAAATTTTATGATTATCGTTTTCGTTATTAAAACCTCCATCCATCATCCATATCCAACAAACAACTTGGACAATTGGCACTTCACCACTTTGCGCTTTTCAATATACTTTTCGCTCAACCAATATTTTTTCTTTTTTCTTTTAAAAAGACAACTTGGGGGACTTTACAAATATACATGAAACACATGAACGACAATTTGTGGATAATACAAAGTGTCGTCCCCTGTGAGGATCAAAAGTCTGTCCAGTCGTAAATAAAGCAGGCGACAATATTTTCTTCACATGATGTGAAGAAAATATTGTCGCCTGCTTTATTTCTGGATCGATACGATCTCCAAACCTTTAAGAAAAGAACATACTCCTTCCTTAAGGCTGGCAACGCGCTGCTACCCTTCCCCCCCCCCCCCTCTCCATCATAAAATAAAACGTAACAAACAATCAAACGAACTCACATTTACATTTATAGGAAGTACTTATATTCGGTCAGTAGTAAGAAGTATCTGTGATGTTAATGAACTACTACTAGAGAAATTAATATAATAACGCAAAATGGCTGCGGTTCTTCATTTGTATAATTGAAGAAATATTACCTAAGAAGAACCGTAAATGTATATTTGCAAATTATTGTTATTTAAAAATCATTTTGCTATTAATTTTTCCAGTAATAAGTTATTTAAATCTCAGGTACTTCGTACTGGTACAGGTCTTTCGTTTGCCTGTTTATTGTAACTTACGTCCAACAGCTTCAACTAACAGCCCTCCATCTTCGTGTTCATTGACAGTGTACCTTAGTGATGGGGCCCTTGGCACGGTGCACAGCACCGCAGACACTCCTGCAAGCAAATAGATTTTTTTTACTAATTAATTAATTAATTAATTAGCATTATTAATTAAGTAATTAAAAGTTTGTAATTTGAAAATTTCATAAATCTAGATGAATGGAAATATTTATCAATAGAGAACATTTCTTTTCACAAATAGAATTGGACTGTTATTTCTGTCATTACAGGATCCTTTACGTTTAAGTTTCCTGGATTCGTTCTAAAATACATCTAATTTGATCATTATATGTTTTTTTAGCATTGGCTGATGGTGAGATCGGTGTGTAATTGTTTTTTCCAAGGAACAAACAAGTTAATGATCATGATAAAACAGGTTTCTATGAAAGCTTTTTACTAACTTAATTATTTCACAACATTTATTAGTCATGCATTTTATTCCATAAAGGTATAAAAGTCTTCATAAGAAAGTAAAAAGCAGAATTCCAAACACTTCTTTAACTCAACGTAACTCGTAATCGTACTACAAGAACACTTTTCGATTAAAAATGATTATATAAATTATGAAAGTTTTACATAAACAGTTTAATTAAAAAGAAAACACACTTATTTATCCACACATAATTGTGGAAAAATTATTATTATAATTATTAAATTAACGAAATTTTTGATAGGAACGGGTTTTAATATCAAGAACAAAAGGTTGATATAAAATCAAAAACGCTTTAAGTCTTCTAGAACTTTCCTTTATGCCATAAGGGGGCAAACGAGCAGACGGGTCACCTGATGGTAAGCAACTACCGCCGCCCATGGACACCGGCAACTCAAAAGTCACAAGTGCGTTGCCGCCCTTGGAGTCCCTACCGCTCGAGTCAGCGGGAGGGGGGATTTGGAAAGGCAACGAAAGAATTGCTTAACACCGGTTTTCTGTGAGGCCGTGGTATCACTCCGGTCGAGCCGGCCCATTCGTGCCGAAGCATGGCTCTGCCACGGTGAAGATCGTGTACTTAACACACACACGAATGGGCATCGAACCCACGCCCTCTGGCTTAGCAATCAAGATCACTAACTACAGGGCAAAAAAAAAGGTCCGCCAATAATCAATTGTCAATTCGTTATTGTTTTAAAGTGATGTAATGTTGTGACATACCTGCTAATAACAGCACTAGTTTCATGTTTATGCCGAACTGCTTCAACTTAATAAAAACAAGCCATATTTATTTATTTTTTATCTGTTAACACGATAGCAACAAAAGATATAACTGTCAAATATATATCTCTTCTTCTGAACTGGATGACTGGATGAGTCGGATAAACGGTGGGCCATCAAAACGAAATCCCCGTGGAGTAAACAGTTGCGAAGCAAAAAAAGCTATGCACTGTTCTCATTTCCTGAATATTATAAGGGGTGTTCGTGGATGAAAAGAATAATAATATTCATATAGGCGCGCAAATAGAAATAACAATTTGATGTAGATTTGAATTTGCGGCAAACTTTTTTGCCACAAATTCGAAGTTACACGGCTGGCGTAGTGGTTTAGGCGGTCGCCACGCCGCTTCCTACTACGCTGAGTGTTGTGGGTTCGATCCCCACATGGGACGACACTTTGTGTGATCCACAAATTGATGTTATGAGTCTGTGTGATTTTTGTGTCCGTTTCATGTATGTTTGTAAATTCCCCCGCTACACAGGAAAGAAAAAAAAAGTTTTGTTCTAAAAATGTTAAATTTTGTTCTATTGCTATGTGAGTACAGTCCTAATTTTACACTTGAATTAATTTATCATACAAAATATAAAGTATGTACTCGGTCCCAGTAAAGTTATGTTCTTCGTACATGACGTCATACGTAGTCACATGACCATTATCCCGCGTTTTAGTGGAATATTTTTATGAAAAAAAAAAACTTTTGTTTGATTTAAGAGACAATAATGAACAAAAATTTGATGGATATTATTAAAACTATTTTTGAAAAGTTGACAACTCTGGGCATGAGCCAGGGGCGATACTCCATATTATTATTAATTTGGACAGCTAAAAACAAAAATAACTACAAATTACAAGTAGTTTTATTTCCAGGTACCCAAGACGGCGTGCAGTTTTTGGTCGGTTCATGTCCGATATAACCACCAGTAGGTGGTATCCGAAGGGATTTCCGCACAGACAAAAAAAAAGGTAGATTTTCTTGTTAATAACAAACAGCCTGTATTTTTCTTTAGTTATCTAGATGATTCTGACGTGAATGCTGTTCAGGCGTGGCAACTATCCTTAGAGGCTTATCTAAAGATATCATGTTATGTCGTAGGTTGTTGAGTACTTTGTTTGTTCTTACTTGTTTTGTTTATTTTTTAAGAATAGTTATTAAAATAGGGAATTTATTCTTAATATCTTCCTTTATAGCTAAATATTGATGTTGTGTGGTGACGGATTAAGAATACGGAGTGTCGCCACCTCTATTCATCCCGTGGGTGTCGTAAGAGGCGACTAAGGGAGCAAACTACGCAGGACAACAGCACTGCAAAGAGAAGGATAACTTGACATAAACCCTATACCAACCCGTCTGGCCAGGGTGGCATAGTAGGCCAAAACCTCCTTTCTAGGGAGAGGCCTATGTCCAGCAGTGGACTATTAAAGGGTATTGATGATTGATGATGATGATTGATGTTAGAAGCGGGTTACACTTTTAGTGTGTTCACTTCAGTAGTAGGGTTCAGACTTGTAAGCACATGATTTCTGAGCTTTAACTATTACGCTAAACCCTTTTCAAAGGTAGTGTACATTTTCTAAATTTTGTACCTCAAAAAGAAAAAAATAACCCTTTGTAGGATCACTTCGTTGATTCTCTATTATCTTTCAGTATTATTTCTTAGGAACTCGTGTAGGTATAACATCGAAATTAATGTCAAAGACGATCCCTTAGAGGGAACTGCAGGGAACAGGAACATGAGACAGTCATATAAGTCTTATATTATATAGGATATAAGCAATATTTTATATAAGACGGATTAAGAATACAGAGTATCACCACCCCTATTCATCCCGTGGGTGTCGTAAGAGGCGACTAAGGGAGAAAACTACGCAGGACAACAACACTGCAGAGAGAAGGAAAACTTGAAACAAACCCTATACCAACCCGTCTGGCCAGCGTGGTATAGTAGGCCAAAACCTCCTTTCTAAGGGGAGGCCTATGTCCAGCAGTGGACTATTAAAGGCTGTTGATGATTGATGATTGATGAAGCAATATTTCGAAACTGCGAAAAAAAGGGTCTCGCAGAACAAGTAAAAACAATCCAAAATTCGTCAATCTGTTGTTATGAGGAATCGAGTCTTGTAACTTTCGATTGCGCATAACAACAAATTGAACAAGTATGTCACAGACGTTTAAATTCGTTGACTATGAATCAATCGAAATATAGAAACACTTTTATAATCATTCAAAACATCTTTTACTACAGCCTAGTGCGTCCACTGCTGAGCGGACGCCAAAGAGCGCCAACCCAAGAATTCTTTTGTCTTGTGGTAATTCAAAACATGCCTATAATGATTCGGTCTTATCATTTCCAGAGCCAGATTAACCAGTCCTAGGGATTTCCTTTCTGTACCAGGGATTTTCTTTCTGGTTCCTCGGCTACAAGTACCCGAGACGGCATGCGGTTTTTGGTCGGTTCGAGTCCGACAAAACCACCGGTGGGTGGTATCCGAGGGGATTTCCGTACAGAAAAAAAAAATTAAAATTAGGCAGAGTAGGCAACTGGCTTAGGCCTAGGGGCATCCTCATCGGTTAGGGGCACCGCGAGCGCTCAAAAGCAACTGATAATGTTTCATAGACAGCATCTGTATTATTAATTCTACTACTCGATACTATTATAGATGGCTTTGTTCTGTACGTATGAAGTATTTTATCAACTGACAGCATGCGTCGAAAAAAAAACCTATTGTCTTGGCGCATGCAAATCTTTCAGTTAAACTTTTATAAAAATAAAACATGAGTGTTTTATTTTAAACTTTATTGTTGTCAAATGCAACGGGCGAAGTTCATCTGTGATCATGGCGCTTGCAATAGTGTCGAAATATCGGAAACTAATTCCCGAAAATAAACATGGTAAATATTCCGTTTATAATAACTTTTTTTTTTATTGGGACTAATCACGCCCACACGCCCACCACTGTAACTCCTGTACACCAGGATCCACAGCAGTGACCCACGAACACACCGAGTTATGACACTCGGGAAGTCCCAGGAAGAAATTAAACTGTCTTGGAACCCGCAACGAAATTAATCAGAAGAAAATTGGAGGAGTTGGAAATACAGTAAATCCACTTCCCTCCTTAGCAAAGCGGGAGACAAAATGCAGTAAAATGGGCATACACCCTTTTAAACAGGGAAGCACCACGGCCACGAAATATTACGGGTCCTACGTGAGCTATATTTGATTTCTATAATATGTATTTATAATACATATACATTTATAATAACTTGTAAAGTATTTTCTTTCGTTTATTGCTTCTTATTGCATTTATATTCAATAAAGAGCTGCTAATCTTCAAACCTCCTTTCTAAGGAGAGGCCTATGTCCAGCAGTGGACTAGTATAGGCTGTTGATGATGATTTGATGAATCTTCAAATGGGTGAAAAGGGGCCCCGTGGATTAGCCAAATCGGGGCCTAATGGCCCCGATTTGGCTAATCCAGCCCTGTTTCTAACATAATCCTTAACATATTTAAACGAAATCACTGAAGCTGAATGCGTTGGATAGGCTCTAACACACTTCTTACCATGTACCATTCAACTTTATCGGGAATGAGATTCTATATTGCTGTCGTTTTTTAAATGCCAAGACCCTGAATCACAAGGTAAACCATTTTAGAAATCACATTCCACTGCTGGACGTAGGCCTCTCCTTAGAAAGGAGGTTTTGGTCTACTATACCACGCTGGCCAGACGGGTTGGTATATGGTTTGTTTCAAGTTTTCCTTCTCTTTGCAGTTCTGTTATCCTGAGCAGTTTGCTCCCTGAGTCTTCTCTTACGACACCCACGGGATGAACAGGGGTGGTGACACTCCGTATTCTTAATCATATATACATATGCTTTAGGCAAATGTGTAATAAATACTAATTATTACAGATCGGAAGAAGATAGACCAAAGAGTTTCACGGATAATTTTAACAGGCACTAAATTGTACCCGAATTTGATTATTTTCTGTGTCATAGCTACGGTTCAGTGACCGCTTCGAAAAAACTATAAGTTTTATCTGTGCACATACAGATGATGTTCGTGAAGTATGCAATTGACACACAGGTTAGTATAACGTAGTAAGCAATGTAGCAACAATAGACATTTTCAAATAACCTTCCTAGAGAAACTTACAGACATATAAGTTATTGCCAGTTATTCTTATTCTCAAAGGGGAGTTTCATAATCGTGTTGCTGAGGAGTTACCATTCTACAGATATGACCCTGAACCAGTTCTTTAAAAAGGTTATTTAACATTGTACTGTGATCAATCTATCATCATAAACAAGACTATTCTTACAAAATAATAGGGGTTAAAGTATGAAATTGCCGTTGTATAGCAATATATACTTTGAATTGACATAAAACCTTCATGGTGTGAGATTTTCGTGTAAAACTTTTTCTACATGATACCTATGAGATAACGGACACGGGGTCCATAGACCTCTTATGCCGTTTTATCTCACACACGGCAGTCTGGTTCCAAATAATTATATAATAAAAAAGGTACATATTTTGTGCATTTATTTTTACAACCATTACTAATTCATTTTTATTTATTTACATAAATAAAGTCAATAGAAAATCGCTTCTTCTTCAATTATATCATTTGATCAAACCATAGAGATATAAGCATAGAGTGAACCAATCTTGCAATAAAGGCAACGAGAGAGATGGATGCTAGATAGTTCCCTCGATCTCATTCTAGTCAAGCTCTGTGGTTGGCTGGGGAATATGAGGGGTTAATACTGAGTTGTTCTGTTTTTTTTTTTTATTTTGCCAAACAGTAAACACTTTCAATGCAAAGAGATTTACTCTCCTCAGAACAAACCTTATTTTCACACGTAAGTTTAATTCTTATCTCAGTTATTTTCTATTTTTTGTAAAATAAGTTTGTCAGAACTGTACTTCATTTATTTATTTAATTTTTAATGATTGTAAAGTTAAAACGTTTATTTAGGGATCATACTTTTATTTAATATTTTAAAATACAGTTTAGCTTGACATTATATCGTTTATATAATGTTTGTCAGTTGAGGTAATTCAGTTAAAACTGATATCGTTCAGTATTCCTGCTAGCAATGGCTTTGCTACTTGTGCATTTAAACGTTTACAAGGCTTTTAAATGTTTACCTCAAGTTTTTGAGCTATGGGTTTTGTATACTTTGTGTTTGAATTATTTACATGCAATTTGTTTGCGAAATTGCCTATCTCTCGACTGTTCTACGATAAACACCATGCCCACTTCACGATATGCAATCGATAGAGGGAAATATTGTTGCCTTTTATCGCTGTCACTCACATTCAGCTGTATACCCCATGTTAACTCGACGCTTATATCTATGGATTAAACATTGAAATATCTGTGTGTGACAGAATAGATGTGAGTTGACAGATTACTATAGATAGGGCAAAATCGCAGTGAATTGTGAATGACCTTTGATTTATAATACGATTTTTTCGTAAATTGGTTAGGGTTACTACTCACTGCTAAAAACACTAAAAAGTTTTCAGACGATGCATAAAGACCATATTTCGCCTATTTAACAATAAATAGAGTAATTATTTTATTATATATAGCTACCGTTTCCTACATAATAATTTAAAAAATATTCGAGATTTACTGTTAAATGGCGTCTAACCTACCTACCTAGCAACCCTAACCTACGTACGCAAAAATTGAATGATAAATCACAGTTGTCCCAAGTGACAGTAGTCACTGAGTGTAGTGATGCGCAAAATGTATCACTGAGCTAAAAAGATAGATACAATGTATCTATGTGATACATTTTGATATGTCATATCATTTCGCTCTAAAGATATATAGCATTAGCATTTAGCTCACTAGCTCACTGATCCAATTCAATAGATTGGTATCCCAATTGATTCATTTCTTTATCTAGATAGGTTAGCTCAGTACATATCATGCTCGCGAAGGAGACGGCGGAGCGGGACCGGGAGAGGTTTAGAACTCTCCCGGCCCACCAGGCCCGGGAACGGGCCAGGTACCGCAGGCGACTCAGGCGCCGGAGGTCGCAGAATGACCTCCGCCCTCCATAAGCGCATGCCTGGGGGTGACAGGTGAGGCCATCTGTCACCCTAGCAGAAGCAGGCCGGGGTGGCGGCGAGCGCGTTGCGAAGCGCGCTCGCTTCCGGGGAGCAGAGGGAACATGGGGTTCCCACACGGGGGGGGGGTCGTCTACTCGTCTGTAGATGGCCCGAGGTATGTCGGGGCACCAGGGACTTCCTTTCTAGGGTATACCTGGTTCTCCGGCTATTAGTAGTAGTAGTAGTCATATCCTCTGGGAATGTAGTCTTTGGTATAATGAATAATGTAATATAATGCTGAATAGCTTGCAGGTGACATCTGGGGCGGTATACTATGGGGATCTTGTGTCAACTAGGGTGAATTTCCGTGCGTTTAGGCGATTCTGCCACACATATTATAGAAATCAAACATAGCTCACGTAGGACCCGTAATATTTGTGGCCGTGGTGCTTCCCTGTTTAAAAGGGTGTATGCCCTTTTTACTTCATTTTGTCTCCCGCTTTGCTAAGGAGGGAAGTGGATTTACTGTATTTCCAACTCCTCCAATTTTCTTCTGATTAATTTCGTTGCGGGTTCCAAGACAGTTTAATTTCTTCCTGGGACTTCCCGAGTGTCATAACTCGGTGTGTTCGTGGGTCACTGCTGTGGATCCTGGTGTACAGGAGTTACAGCGGTGGGCGTGTGGGTGGGATTAGTCCCTATTAGTACCCGAGACGGCATGCGGTTTTAGTCGGTTCGAGTCCGACATGCCACCGATAGGTGGTATCCGAGGGGATTTCCGCACGGGAAAAAAAAGTCCAAATCACTCACTGCAAGCCTCTCTCGCTCATACAAACGTTTATTTATTCTCATATTAACCTACATTAGGTTCTCGGAACTTCATTTTTAACCTTTTTTTTTTAAATTAAATTTTTATTCATTTTGATAAGATTACATAATTATAAATACTCTTTTCTAAAATAATTAAAAATAAGAAATATGTACTCATTATAATTTTTTTGCACTTTTTTAGGTTGTATATTAGAAATCATATACATAAATTGATTTTCCTTATAATTAGCACGGTTAAATTCTCAAATAATAATTAAGTAATGTTAAAAGTTTGATCCTACAGAAATAATGTAGGTACATTTTGCATGAAGAAAGTTAGCGTGAACTCAACCATCATCTATCTCACTCATTTATCTTTGGTCTCACTCGCTTATGAAACAAAGATCGGCGTCGTTGAGCTAGTGAGCTTTATAGTACTGAGTTACTGATATATTCGGAGCTAGTGTATGTGAGTGATATATTTCATCGGCATGCATGATATATAATATATCTTTTACATCACTTACTCAGGAGCTACACAACTCTGAGTGACTACTGTCACTTTGACATTTTAAACAATCGCACATAATTTGTAACAATGGCAGACCCGCGTATTCGTCAAATAAAAATAAAGACCGGCGTCGTGAAACGCATAGCCAAGGAGAAGGTTGTGTATGAAAAAGAAGTTGATCAACAAAAGAATAGGATTCAAAAATTGAAAGACGAGGGCCAGGATGAACATACTATCCGAAAGCAGGAGGAAGTTTTACAAGAGTCGCTTATGATGGTCCCTGAATGCCAAAGACGGTAAGATTTTATAAAGCCAGGAATTAAAAACTAAACTTGTTAAGTATCATAGCTTCTATTGTTTTTTTTTTATTTATTTTTTATTGTGCTACTGCGAAGTAACAGCTGCAGTCCTTGTAGGTTAGGTTTTACTTCTCGACAGTAATTTGTCTTTGTTACTGATGAGTCATATTTAGAAGTCGCAAATATCTGTTTTAAATCCTCAAGGAGCTTAAAGTGTATACTTATATGGTTCTTATTTTATTCCAGACTCGTAAAAGCTCACACTGATCTAAAAAATACTTTGGAATCGGAGCAAGATCTTGCAGAAAACGAGGACTACATTGCAGCTCAACAGGCTCTAAAAGACGCAGAACCCCAATTACCAGAAGCGTCTTTAGAATAAACCTTAATATTTTCTACTTACTATATTTTTAACAATCATGTCTTATAATCCTAATTTTTATAATAAGTTTCGTAGAAATAATGCTACATTCCATCATAATTTTCGACCACATTTTGTACCACCCCCACCTGCACCGCCGCCATTTTTTATTCCTCCAACTCTGTCATCAGAAAATATCCCAACCGACCAGGAGTTTTTAAAAGGCTTTGAGCCCCATATTTCTGTTGGGAAAAGCCCAGTCCACAATAAAAAAATATCCATATCTGAAGTTCGAGAGAAACTGCACACAATAATTTTGTCTCTAAACAATTTGAAAGCAAAAGACAAAATGTTGACAGAAAATATCAGTAAACTTTCTGATGAAGAATGGAGTTCACATTTTAAGCAAATTGAAGAGAAGAAAGCCTTTATTGATTCCACATTGACACAGATCAAGGGTCCTAGTTTAGATGTTTTGCAGAAGCTTTTAGCAAAAAGAGTAGCGAAGAGGTTGCGTCTGAAAAGAGTGCGCTCTGAAATTAAAAAAGAAAAGGAAGATAAGTGGAAGGAACAAAAAGAAAGATCCAGAAAAATTGATGAGAACTTGCAAAGGATAAAAGATGACATCATTAGAGCTCAACAGGTAATTTCATTTAAAAAAGTTTAGTCCATTTTAGAATTCTCATATTTTTTTTAATATTCAACCACATTTAAAATAAATCTTTTATTATGTGAGAATCCAAAAGAAGGTGACTCTACAGCATATTGTATTATATGTACACTGGTTGCTCTTTTTGGATAAACATATTTAATATATGGTTTGTAAGATGCCCAAAACTGTATTTGTAGGAGTTTACCTTAATATTTAAGTGTAGAGAAAAGAGATTTATTTTTGATTAGAGTGTAGAATCTTTCTCTTTATATGATTAAAAAATAAACAAGTAGAATGAGTACATTCACTTAATATGACAATAAAAGATATGAACACAATGACAATTTGAAATTGTACATTTATAATTTAATGATTGTGATACCTAGGTATGCATTTTTTAAATATATATGTAGAAATTTAGTTACAAAACAGAGTCAAGTGTGAGTTTGTTTTACATCTATCATCACGGCAAGCACATTCAGCGTTGCGATTGATCCATGATGAACTCGACACCAAACATCGCTGTGTGTTAAGAGATTGAGTTTATGTGAAATAAACTCTGTATTACCACAGCTCCGGTTTGGTTTGGTCTGTAGTTACTCACAAATATACAATTTTATTACAATGATTTCATGATGACATAATATTGTTTTATTTTATTATTATACCAATAATACCAATAGTAGGCCAAAACCTCCTTTCTAAGGAGAGGCCTATGTCCAGCAGTGGACTAGTATAGGCTGTTGATGATGATGATTATTATTATTATACAACAGCAAAATGGACTGCTTGTTTTGTTGGGAAGGTAGGGTAGTGAAGCTTGGATTAACCTTCTGCTTAAAACATGAGTAAGCCCATGCATACAGTTCCAAAAGGATTCCGGCTATTAAAAATTAATATTATTATTGAAAAATATTATAGGAACAAGAAGCAAAGCTAGAAGCCGATGTGGTGTTGAAAGAAGTTATGCGTAAGAAGAATGATGCCAAGAAGTGTATAATGAAACTGGACCTGTTAGTAAAGCTTCGCAAGGCGAGGCAGAACACTGCAAAGGGCAGAGGAGAAACTGTTCCTGAGAGTGAAACTGTTGCGTTTCATGCTGGCATTGGTAAGGCGTTGGGCTCTCAATTAAATTTTATGCTATCTATATCTGTGTTCCTGATATCAATTTACTTTTTTTCTTGACCCATCTATATATTATCAGATTACATTCTCGTGGAGTTATAGCAACCGGTCATAAATTTTTTGCCATGTCACACCACATAATCGCTGATCACAAAGAGAATTGGAAGACCGTCAGGAAGATGATGATCAAACTAAGATTTTTGATTATCCAGTGCCTCAAATTTCTTGCTACTTTATTAATCATTTATAAAAATACCCTTTTGGCTTTTGTTTCTTAACACTTGGTAAAATATTTTGTAAAGCGTCAGACAGTAATTGTGTGGTTTGAGGTCCCATAATCTATTTAACTCTTAGGACGTCGCGGCGCGCGGATGACCTATGACCCGTTACTGTCGCGCCCTTGAACTAGTGACCCAGTCACAGCTGAGCGAAGTCATTATTACCTCAATATCTACGTTATTTTATAATTATATTCAATGAAATAAACATATTTGGAATCCCTGATATAAATTCTTCCAAATGTTGTGACAGAGACGCTACCACGTAACAATTTGGTGTCGCAACTGTTGTGACGGCGACGCGTCGGAGGTTAATGAATTAACAAGACTAATCCCGCCCACATGCCCACCACTGTAACTCCTGTACACCAGGATCCACAGCAGTGACCCACGAACACACCGAGTTATGACACTCGGGAAGTCCCAGGAAGAAATTAAACTGTCTTGGAACCCGCAACGAAATTAATCAGAAGAAAATTGGAGGAGTTGGAAACATAGTAAATCCACTTCCCTCCTTAGCAAAGCGGGAGACAAAATGAAATAAAATGGGCATACACCCTTTTAAACAGGGAAGCACCACGGCCACGAAATATTACGGGTCCTACGTGAGCTATATTTGATTTCTATAATATGTATGACAGAATCGCCTAAACGCACGGAAATTCACCCTAGTTGACACAAGATCCCCATAGTATACCGCCCCAGATGTCACCTGCAAGGTATTCAGCATTATATTACGTTCATTACACCAAAGACTACATTCCCAGAGGATATGATGAGCAGACTGTTCATAGTGAGAGTTAGGTGTTGAGCATTGACACAACGGTGACTCGACTAATTTAAATGAATAAAGCTTGCTCTTAAAGTTACCATGACCCGTAAGAAATTGAGCGACACAGTGATCCACCTCAAGCCATGTCCTCGACAACCGTTCGCGAACAGATGGAAAGAATTGGTAAAGATGGCGCCCCTTGGATGATTCATCCCAGCGTTGTTGCCATTCGTCTATGAGGTCATTATAGACATCGGACTGCTGTTGAAGCAATCTTGTAATTTTACCGCGATCCCGCGCGCCCAAAAAATCGCATTCCATGTTTTGTTGTCTTGAATAGTACATGGCTGCACGTCTCTGCACTTCGAGATCGACCGGAAGCACACCCGCCAACACCGGCAAAGCCTCGGTGCTAACCGTCCTATATGCCTTGCACAAGAATATCAGTGCAAGTCGTTGGCCTTGTAACAGTTTGCGACGGACAGCGCCTACGGTCGCCCTATCGGCCCATACAGGTGCACCATAGCACATAGAACCTAAATAAGTAGCTCCGTATATGATCTTTAATGTATTAAATGATAGACCCCATGTCGCAGTTGATATCCTTGTCAATGCACAGAAACTCTTTTTAGACTTTTCATTAACTATTTTAATATGTTCGATAAATGAAAAGTTTCTTTCTAAAACTAATCCTAGGTAACACACTGAGGCCTTATTTTTTACAGTAACATTGTCAAATCTAATGCTTGGCGGTGATTTGAGGTTACCTTTTAAAAGTAGCTGGAAGGTTTTGTTAGGTGCAAAATTTAAGCGATTACGTTCACCCCATTGAGATATCAAGTTCAAACATCTATTGGCTAATCTCTCAAGCCCCGCCCTAGTATCAGATTCCACCAGTAATAAGCCGTCATCAGCATACGCGTTCAGAGTACACCCGGATGGTATTGGAATTAACAAGAGTATGAATTAACATGGTATAATCTATTTATATTATTTTTATATTAATCCGTGTGGTGACGGATTAAGAATACCGAATGTCACTACCCCAGTTCATCCCGAAGGTGTCGTAAGAGCCGACTAAGGGAGCAAACTATGCAGGACAACAGCACTGCAAAGAGAAGGAAAACTTGAAACAAACCCTATACCAACCTGTCTGGCCAGCGTGGTATAGTAGGCCAAAACCACCTTTCTAAGGAGAGCTCTATGTCCAGCAGTGGACTATTAAAGGCTGTTGATGTGATGATGTGTGATGTGATCCTTTACAGAGACACTGAAGGTTGAATGGACTTACAAACTCTCTGCTTATGAAGCTGAAGAAATTGAACTACGTGCTAAGCTTAAAGAGGATTCTGGCCAACAGGATATGCTTACAAACGCAACAGAGAAGGAAGTTGCAAACAATTTGGTGAAGTGGAGGGAAACACTCTTTGGTGGGCAATTGCCTCAGGTGGATTTAAGAGGGGATGTTACGAGATTTATAGCTGTCAGGTAATTTTTATTCAATAATTCATCATTCCAATGTAGTTTTTTCATCTTCATAAACAAACAAGTAATCCCAAAGTCGCATATTGAGTATATCTTTATAAATTTTGCTTTAAAAATGTCTTTCGTGGGTCTTGGGAGGTTTATATTCTAAGTTTTGTCATTGTTGAAATCAATTATACTACCCAAACAAAAAGCATTATGTTGAGGCAGGATAGTCAGTCCCGTAGTTTGGCCAGCCGCGAGGGGGCGGCGTCCGCGTGTGCCGGACGTCGCCTAAAGAGAGGAAAATATTGAGACGGAGCCCGCACCAGGAGCGGGCTGGCGCTAGGAGGGGTCCGGATGTCTTAACAACAGCAGTTCCCGGATCCCTCCTATTACAGGCGCAGAGTGGCACACCGTGTGGTTTTAGTCGGTGCGAGTCCGACACACCACCCCGTCGCAAACCCCGGAGGGGTGACGGTCCGAGGGGATTTCCACACGTTAAAAAAAAAAAAGGATAGTCAGTCCCGTACGTCGCCTAAATAGAGAATTCACCCGAAAATGGTGCCCGTGCTTTGTGGGCAGGCGCTAGGAGGGCCCGGATGTGTCAATAACATCTGTTCCCGGATCCCTCCTGTTACAGGCGCAGAGTGGCACACCGTGTGGTTTTAGTCGGTGCGAGTCCGACACACCACCCCGTCGCAAACCCCGGAGGGGTGACGGTCCGAGGGGATTTCCACACGTTAAAAAAAAAAAAGGATAGTCAGTCCCGTACGTCGCCTAAATAGAGAATTCACCCGAAAATGGTGCCCGTGCTTTGTGGGCAGGCGCTAGGAGGGCCCGGATGTGTCAATAACATCTGTTCCCGGATCCCTCCTATTATAGGCGCAGAGTGGCACACCGTGTGGTTTTAGTCGGTCCGAGTCCGACACACCACCCGCGTGGGGTGATGGCCCAAGGGGGTTTCCACACGTAAAAAAAAAAGATCCCCTTAATGATTTTGTTTACTACTATGCTATTTCATTCTATTATGTTTTGCAAAATATTTCCATGTTAAGGATTGAACACTTTGTTTTAGATCACAGTGGGATCAGTATGTAAGTAGTGAAGGTACCGCACTGCCTATAGGATGGGTGCCCCCTGCGAAAAAGGTTGACAGCTAGTTTGAATGACATTCACATAAAATATAATTGTAATTTGTCTATGTGGCCTTATTTGCATTTGCTTTATACTAATTAAATTATGCATTTTGTGTAAATCTAGTTTTTTCTGTTCCTCATTATTTACATCTGTCTCTTAAATTCAATTATCTATCGCCCACTCTTTCCCCATGTGGCATGGTGTACGAATATGTCATTGTGGAATTGAATGTAATGTGTACATTTATTGGGTGGCACTGATCAGACCTCCAGCAGAGAGATTGATGGTTCTTATGTATAGTAAGTCAACTATAACGTTTAAATATTTTAAATTTTTATTGGTTTGCGTTTACTTATCGATGTAGATTACAAATCCTAAAAAAAAAGCAAATAGTTTGAATTAAAACAGTAGATTCAAATATTATAAAACTTTGACAACCTCCTGAAAATTCAAATTTGGCAGATGACTCACTATTTGTACATAGGATCCATCGAGATATTCAGTAATAGTAACTTTATTGTTAATACTCGTTTACCTTACCCGCAATACAAGCGTGTATTTTTATTAAATTAATTTTAATAATTTTTTTTTTTTTTTGTTTACAACACCACTGCCGACTAGTGATGTGTAGCGTGAAATAAAACAAATCGTTATGTTTTATTAGGGTTCCGTACCTCAAAAGGTAAAAAAGGAACCCTTATAAGATCAATTTCTTGTCTGTCTCTCCGTGTGTCACCACCGATTTTCTCAGGAACGGGTATACCTAGCAAGTTGAAATTTATGGTCTATGGTCCCTATTAGGTGTATAAAAATCAAGGTCCTGAGTCAACACGATAAAAAGATATGGGCAAATTTCGATTTTCGCGAAAACTTGCTTTAATACCAAACAAAAATTTACCTTAATTTTCAACTTTTTTTATTTTTCAGAATTTTCTCTTTACTTGTGCTGTAAGACCTTGCTTTTAACCAAAATTGTCAATTCTAGATCAACCGGAAGTACCCTATAGGTTTTGGGTTGAAAACCTATATGATAGTTCCCGTTTACCTAGAATCACGAAATTTGGCAAAAATAAACATCTTACAACACAAATAAAGGAATAATTCCAAAAAATAAAAAAAGTTGAAAATTAAGATTAATCTACGTAAAATCTGGGTAAGTACGAAACCCTCGGCGCCCGAGTACGACTCGTACCTGACCGGTGTTTTATTTTAATGATAATGTTGAAATTGGTCGAGTGCACAAGGATTCCTAAAACATGACAATTGTATCCATTACAACAAAAACAATTAAATTAATTTATGTATATAAAAATTTATCAAACTTGATCCGATTATAATTAACCAATAACTCTTAATTTTTTCACCGTATCTTTGTTTTTGTTTCACTTCATCGACTATCTTTTAATCAACTTGAGGTACCTAACTTCTGGAAACAGCTTTTAAAGAGAAATGCTCGTGATCTCACAAATGAAAAATAATAGATATCGATAAATGCATAAGTTTTGTGTTAAAACTTCATCACGGTGGTGTCGTTAACAAAAGACTATGTTTTCTGCTCGTCTGCCCCCTCTAACATAAACAAAAATACGAATACAATCAGGAGACTGCCTCTTTAACTGCTCAGGTATGGTAGGGAAGCTTGGATTAACCTTTTGCTTAAAACACTAGTAAAGCCATGCCTGCAGTTACAAATATATATAGACAAATAGACTCCCTCAGACCTCTATTCTATAGTTTATGGGATTAGAAAAACACACATTATATTAAAGTCTTTTACTCGGCACAATTTCCACTTTATGGTTTATTTAGTAAGAAATTATATGTAAAAATGGCGACACACACCGTGTCTCTAATGTACAGGCTAATGTTACGGATATCATGTTAACGCTATCAAATTAGTACAAACTAAAATTCATAGACAACATTTCGACCAACGAAATATTGTCTATGAATTTATATTATAATAATGCAAACGGGTAAACAGGACAGGTTATAATCTAAGCATAACATTTAAGGATTTTTTTTTATTATTTTACTTTAGTAAATATTAAAAGAAGTGGAATATTAAAGTTAAATAGGACCAATGAAACATGTCACAATAATCTGTCCAGTTTCGATTGCATCATTATTGAGGTAATGCGGCATTAACGCGAAGTGATTAACTAGCAATATTCTTAGTACTTCAACTTACATTTTTGAATCAGAGGCATAACATCATCACGTGATAATCCTTAGGTATAAAAATATCAATTGCAACTGTCTGTATTTGATAGCTGGTCCTCAATTCTGCTATTTTTTTTAAGGCCAAGCCATTATCATTCCATTGACACGCTATTGAGATGCCATTGAGACGCTATTGACATCGGTCAAAATATCAGTATTCTACTAACATCAATTCAGTGTCAATATACTGTCGATATAGTCGGTCATCAATGGTGATATCAACAACATTACCATACCTGGACAATTAACTATGTCATTATTTTTTTTTAATTTAAAATGTACCGTTTACCAAACTATTACAAAGACATCGACGACATTTCTATCAGTGATAAGTTATCGGGCCATTGGGCTTACATAGTTAATAGAATAGGTAAAGTGCAATACTATTCCGACGACATTCCATCGACAGGCTATTGTTACAATATTAAAATAGCAGAATTGAGGCCCTGGTTGATAACGAACAGTGTGTTCTCTAAAGCATTATTTACACCTACCACTGTGTCCTAGATGCTCATACATGTTTTGTCACAAAAAATAAAGGCGTCGTAACGATGGATGTCTTAGTAACTCAAAGAGACAAGCTCTTTGAGTGTCCTTATACTCCCCCAGCGATACGGGGGAGGAGAGGTTGGGCCTCAGTTACTCAGTAAAAGTACCAAAAGAATAGCTTAAAACCGATTTACTGTCTTATCACTCCGGTCGAACCGGCCCATTTGAGCCGAAGCGTGGATATCTTACGGGTTAAAAAGTTGGAAGCGTGGGGGCTTGTATATTTATTTGTACTTGTTTACATACATTAAGGCACTATAAATTATCCTTTACGACTTTTTTACTGAACGACGATATACTGTCCAGCCGCTGAAAAAAATCTCAACGACAGTATCAAACGATTCGTCTTGTTAGTGGCTACAAATAGTAGTCGCGACTATTTCTCTGGACTCCTTTCTTCGCTTTTGGCCTAATAAAAAGAAATAAGTTATTTAATCATATAAACTAGAGTTACAACTCATTACTTACTTCTAAAAAGCACTTAGGCGACTAAACTACTATGGAGTTCAAACAGAAGGCCGACTGCCTTGAAACAGTAAACGGTGTCGTCACGATCCAGCGGGCAGTCCAGACGCCAGTCCACAACGATACAATTTTGACGACACAGCAAGGGCATAGTTCTAATAATGGGAATAGCAGCTACGCACAACAGCCTTGTAACGGTAAAAAGCGTTACGATATAATGGGAACACATCCTAACCCTTTAAACACCACGGTCACACATAAGTGACAAATAAAATAAACTATGCATGTTATTTTTGTCACAGAAAATTCATGCACTATAAATAACATATACCAAGACCTTGAGGCCCTCCCTCCCTGACGCAATCAAAATTAGTGTTTATAGTTTAAGCAATAAAGATAATAATATTGTACAGACATTTGCCATCAATAATTTCTCAGTACCTTACCAATCTATAGTCACTCTATTGCGTATATATACATACATTATACAGTTTACCAAGGGACATTCCATTAAAAAAGAACCATTCTCTTACTATCACGACTTATATAAATCTTCATAATCTTGACCTGCGATTTGGACCATGAATTAAAGATTATTTAAACCAAACCTGAGATGGACAGGTTTAATTTAAAAAAATTTGAGGGTAGAATGAGATTTGACTTTAGAAAATATAATTATTGAAATGAATTTAAGTGATTGTCAAAACGATAGTACTGAGTTATTTTATTACTCTTTTGGTATTGCACAGAGATATGGAAGACTAGTTTACAAGGGTGTTAATTGAAAAGACCAAATACAGAAAGTCCTCTAATTCTAGAATAGTGGGGTTCAAAAAGAAATCCCATGGTAAACGTGTTTACAGATCAAATATATCTAAGATAGTCCAAAGCGGGTAGTTCGAAAAGAAAGCGGTTGACCATAAATACAGCGAATTTCACTCAAAGAACTAAAAAACTTATCGTTTTTTGTTATAAAAATAAACTTAGAATATATGTATGTTGATGTAGAAAAAAAAGGAACAATTCATTTCTTAGTATTCGGCATGCGTTGCAATGCCTAGTAAAGTATAAAGAAATAAAACCTTTATATAGTTTTTTGTGAGTCAGGAACCCTCGTGGGTGTCCGCGGAATACTACCAAAGTTTCATCACAATCTGATCAACGGTTTCAAAGCGCATAGAGGACATACATACATTGATTTTTATTTAGCCTGTGGATTTTTACCCTCAAGTATAGTTTTTCCTAAATAGATATGTTAGTTGCGATTTGTGATTGGAATATATTCTTCAAGAAACAATCCACCTGAGTCGTTAGCAGTAAGACTTCGTGAAAGTCCAAAATACTCTTTTCAAAAGGGCTAAAGATAATGTAAAATCCCTTTTAAACTGTTTGTAAAGTTTTAATTTACACTCGTTTTATTTACAGATACCCGCTTTAGGCAACAAAAAAATCTATAATTTTCTATTAATCTATAAGATATAAAGACCTTATTTATATAAGATTATATAATGCACCACTTTTATAAGAATTATATTGCGTTCAGTATTCACTATGGTCGAATAGTATCGTTGCTTATAAAATAACCTTAGAACAACCTTTTTATTAGTTGAATGATAGGCACAGTATATTTAGTATAAAATACATTATACATACTTAAACTTACGTTTTTATCCCAGAGGCCAATTAAACGCCCACATTTGGAGGATTATAATTTTAGTCCCACTACGTAATCATCACCATCATCAACGGCCCACAATAGTCCACATCTGGACTAGGCCTCTCCTTAGGAGGTTTTGGCCTACTATATATCACGTTGGTCAGACGGGTTGGTTTCAAGTTTTCCTTTTCCTTGCAGTGCTGTTGTCCCGCGTAGTTTGCTTCCTTAGTTGGCTCTTACGACACCCACGGGATTAATAGGGGTGGTTACACTCCGTATTCTTAATCCCTCACCACACTACGTAATTCGCAAGCCGTCAACCGAACACATATATTTCTATATAAACATACTTACATATGTACATATATACATAGTATAGATGTATTACACCCAGACACAGATCGTGCTCATCACACAATATTTGTGCTGGGTGGGAATCAATCCCACGACCTCCGGCTTAACAATGAGGATAGCTAACTATTAGTCTAAGAGCCCCGTCCTGTTTTATAACCTATCTCCCAATTTGTGTTTATCGTACATCGTAAGTTCAGCATTTTCATGCAAGTGCAAAGAAGTGCGGTTACATAAATACATACATAGATAAATAGTTTCACGCATGGTTCCCGTTCGGGGTAGGCAAAGACAATAGAATACCATTTGCCACGGTTCTAACAAGTATCTCATAAATTTAATAAGTAGTAAAATAGGATAAATAAAACCTTATTAAATAGTTCATTCGCGTTAAGAAAATAGTCAAGCTCCAACCCCTGACCAATTAGATCCCAAGAAATTACCGTTTCTTAAGAAAGTTTGGAATCTGATTGGTCAGTTCATCTCAATTGGAGTATTTATGAATTAGTTTTGTATTTTTGAAAAGTTATTAAAAAAATATGTGTGTATTAGCACGAGACGCACGACTGCAGTTTACTCGTTAAGAACGATTCGGCCGCACACAAGTATACAAGTTATACACACACATGTGAAAGGCACGATAGGTTGCGCACAAAAAACGTAACGAGGTCATTCGATAACTAAATTTTACTCTTCATATTTTTTCATACCGTGCGCCTTATATCACAATCCATTCTTAAGGAGTAAACTCCAAAAAATGTTTTAAAGATTTCTTTATAAATATGTGTTTTACTGCGTGGAAATAAAAATCAATATTGTATGTATGTCTTGGTATTGTTTATATAAATCAACTAGCAGTAATCTTATTGTAATTAAAAGATTGGTTCAACTTACAAACAAAATTAAGGTCGTTCTACGGTTATATTATCTATGGTCTGGTATTATTAAGGTCACTGCACACTATTGTAAAAACTAGATATCATAACATTACTAACTCAACTGGTATTGTAAAAATATGTATTGGTTTATTCTCCTTTATGAATGAAAACATCAATTAATAAACTGGCGTGCATATTAATCAGGCCTCTTTAAAAAATGCTAAATTTTCTGTATTCCATTTGGCTTTAGTAGGTATTTTTTATGGAATAACATTAATTTTTAAATCAAATACAATAATAATATCTTACACATCTCACACACGGCCGTCTGATTCCAAACTAGGCAGAGCCTGTGCTATAGTAACCAGACTGCTGATAAACATACTTATATATTTTTAAATACATATATATATATACATACATATTATAAATAATTTACAGCCAGACACAGAACAAATGAAAAATATATAGGATCACATTTTATAGTTGGCCTATTTTCTAAGCCCGCTAGTTTATAAGGGCCCTTTTAGTAAAAATATATAAATTTATGACATCACCTTGGCACTGCTGTATTCCAGTGCAATTATTTAATTTTAAATTGAGTCAAGATGATAGGATTATAGGTAAACTGGGCCAATTAAGACGTGTCATTATGGCCCACATATTATTCTTATAGTATATGTGATTTACAAAATGATAAAGAGACCGGACCACATTATGATAAGAGAAATCCAATTCTATCTTTATTAATTACCAGACAGTTCTATAGGCACTTGTGCAAATAATTAATCACTCATCAAATTTATTTATCTAATTAATTACACAGGCCAAAAATTTTTTTTTCTCAGAAACCAGATTATACTTTCCCGAAGGAGTTTGGTGCGCTGAATCCAAATCCGGCCACAGTAAGGTTATGTAACCCTTCAAATTTTATTATTCCTAAAAAAGTAAATCAAACTCAACGTCATTTGAAAGCTGAAGACTTGAACTTTAAGATTCCCTGTGTACTTTTTTAGCCATAACAAAATTTGAAGGGTTACATAACCTCAAAAATGGGAAAGAAATGGCGTTTTTTGTATTTTTAGTTGATTCTGACGTGTTAGAGCAATTCTGCGGCTGTAATTGGATACAGCGCACCAAAATCCTTCGGGCAACTATACTCTGGTTTCTGGGAAAGAAACTTTGTCAAATTTTGTTAGCCTGTGTTATTTTAATAGCGCTAGAGATAATGCTTGCGTTAAAAAAAGAATTATAACTTCAGTTGCGTAAACTAGATGGCGCTCCTTAATGGACAGATTCTAATATAAAATATCATTCTCCATTTGCCCTTTCGTAATCAATATGAATGCACAATAAATATGAAATAAATAATTTGAAAATATAGCAAATCTGCTTAAAGAATTAAACAAAATTAGAATTAATATAAACAATCATAGACCTATGGGATGGACGAGACCATAGACTAAAAAAAAAGAAAACAATATCGTAATATTACAAAACTGTGGGTTATTTAATGTCGATGCAATTCCTATCAAAGAATACGAGGGGCATCGTCGTTAAAATCCGACCTGTCATCGACAGGTTAAGTAGTTATAATAATTGCACGAAAAGTCTATGAAAAAAAAAGAAAAGTAGTTTATGGCTTCCCCCGGTTTGCTGAAAGGCCGTCTATAGTTGTACTGTAGTGTGAGGGCTACTGCCAGAGCCCGGCGTAGTTCCCTATGAGAGGTGCGGGGAGGGGCCCTCCCGCCGTGAAGATGCGCGTGCCGCTGTCGTCGTAGCAGTGCGTGTAGATGGCGGGCACGTGCTTCACCTGGTTGAACCCGTCCGCCTCCTCGTCCGGGAACTGGCACCGAGTAATACTTTGTTATTTGATTATATACATACGGGTAATAGGTATTACGTACTGAACAGGGTGTGGCTGTGACCATGGCCGGTGAAAAAAGAAGGCCAATGGCCTCTATTCAGTTTCGATCTCACTACTGTTATAAAATGTATTTTCGTAGTAAAGTATTAAACATCCGACGTCGACTGTAATGTGATTATATCGTATTTGTTCGGTAATCTGCTAGTCTTAGTAATACTTTACTATTTTACTACGAAAATACCTTTTGTGTTTCGTAGTTGTGAGATCGAGAGTTCATCAGGACTGAATTGTGACCAAACTTCACATCATCATCACATCAACAGCCTTTAGTAGTCCACTGCTGGACATAGGCCTCTCCTTAGAAAGGTTTAGGCTTACTATATCACGCTGGCCAGATGGTTGGTATAGGGTTTGTATCAAGTTTTCCTTCTCTTTGCAGTGATGTTGTCCTGCGTAGTTTGCTCCCTTAATCGGTTCTTACGACACCCACGGGATGTGCCGTGTGGTGTCGTAGGACACCCGATAGGAACGAAGTTGTTACGATCGAGTAAAACTGATTAGACACGATTTTAATTACAACGCCATCTATGAAAGCGGCTATTACCTACATATTTTTCAGTTGGTTTCTACTTAAAACAATTTATACATTGGTAAAATCTCCTTGAGAAATGATGTCGAATAAATTTTATTATATTATTTTTTAAGAAAATAAATTTTAATTTTACTATTCGATAGATGGCGCTGAATGACTGACAAGTGACAATTCAAAATAAAAAGTGTCGTGACCAATTTTCGTAAGAATTTTTTCCGTCTAGCCCCCTTTCACAACGCGCGATAAGGAACTTCGTTCCAACTATAAATCATGGAAGACAAAAGTTTAAATATATACAGTATTTGGTAACTTTCACAAGCAAAAATAAAATGTGAGGTGCTTTTTAGCATATATTTAATAATAAAGAAAAAATCTTTTGAACAATATCCGTCAATAAAATATTTATCATCTGGCACCCCACGTTTTTGTATGATAAAATGTTTTTTTTTCTTAATCACTGCATTTTGTGTCTGTGACACTACCAAGACTACCAAGTTTCAGATATGGAAATGGAAAATATTTTGTTATATTATCATTGGTACTTGATTTCAAATAATAATAATAATATTTACACATACATACAAATGAATTAATAAGTCATTATGTGACTAGAATATAGAATGTAACATACCACATATCCCCTGGAAGCTTTGAGTGTGACGGTTTTGGTAGAATGTATGTTGCTTTCGAGGTACTTGCCCGCGCGGAGATCGTAAAACATTAGTAAACCTGATGGAATAAACAATATATTAAACAGTGATCTCAAAAATTTTAGAGAGAATTCTTTACAAAAACCTTAACAATTATGTAAACAAATATAAATTAATCTCTCAAAATCAGTTTGGTTTTAGGAAAGGTGTATCCACGGAGGACGCTGTTTCTGCTTTGCTTAATTGCATTACAGATAAAATTGACAAACAGTCCAAGTGTCTGGCTATCTTTATAGACCTCTCTAAGGCTTTTGACACTGTCTCTGTGCCTATTCTTCTAAACAAACTAGAAACAGTAGGAGTACGTGGGAAAACTTATTCTTTATTTAAAAGCTTTCTCTCTGAAAGAACGCAATGTGTTAAGGTTGGAAAATACATTAGTACCGACATGCAGATGGAGTACGGTGTGCCGCAGGGTAGTTTACTCAGTCCTCTTCTCTTCTCCATCTATGTCAATGATCTCTGTAACCTTAACATATCCTCTACCCACATAATCGCGTATGCCGATGACACAGCAATGGTAACATATGGGCGTGACTGGGATATCGCAAAGAATGTAGCAGAATCTGCACTGAAGCAGGTGGGAACTTGGTTGGCCAGTAATAGCCTAACGCTAAATGTTGAGAAAACGAAATTCATCACTTTTGGATCGCGTCTCTCTACCCTGCCACCTGAGCCTTCTTTTACTATCAAATCCCATCAATGTGATATTCCAATTCACAATTGCGCATGTCCTACAGTGGCCAGAGCTTCGGTGGTGAAGTATCTCGGACTGCTACTGGACTCCTGTCTGTCCTGGAAATTCCACATACAGTCGCTGTCGTCACGCATTAGGAAACTTATATTTATCTTCAAGAAGTTAAGAACATCAGCTAACGTTAAGATAATAAAAATGGTCTATAGTGCACTGTGTGAATCAATTATAAGCTACTGTATAACTGCATGGGGAGGAGCAGCAAAAACCATCATCATTGAGGCTGAAAGAGCTCAACGAGCTGTAATAAAAGTACTCCTTAACAAGCCCTTTCGTTACTCTACCCAGCAGTTGTATAGGGACTATGAAGTTCTCACGGTCAGACAGCTTTTTATTCACCGCACCGCCCTGCGCAAGCACGTAACTTTCCCCCCAAATATTAATATTAATAGCCCCAATAGAAGAAGGAGGCCAATGCCGGTATTTCCCAAATTTCACACACGTACAACATTTGCACGTAGACATTACCTATACCTAAGTACGCTTATATATAACAAGCTAAACGCTAAACTTAACATACACACTTTAAACACACACCACTGCAAAGACCGAATCAAACAGTACCTCCAAACCCTAAATTATGATGAAACAGAAGATCTGATTAAATGAACAGTCATTTGATTTCTAAACCTATCCTCTATTCACCAACCCACAAATATATCTACACTTACACTTATTCCAATCAATATTTACCCACAATCAAATATTATGCAAGGTAAATGTTATTCCCTAACGTTATTATAGGTTGACAATAATGCACACACTTGCACTACCTACCACACCAACCAACCAACGAACCAACCTAACGAACTTACCCACCCTAACACACACATTCCTACATGTATATATATTGTCTTTTTATTTTTATTTTCTTTTCTTACTTCCTTCTCTTGTATGTATCATTAAAAATAAATATATATAAACAGCTATCACATTTAAAGCACACCTGAACACATTACAGACGGATGGATGACTCCCATAACACAGGATGTTCCTAGCATGGGGTCATTGATCAATGATTTTGTGTGTATTCTGTTTCTTTTTTTTCTAAGTGTAACAATAAGTGTTTCTAAGTGTAACAATAAAGATATATAAATATATATAAAAAAAAAACACCTGTCAATTGGTGATGTTTTCAATTCGATTAAAAGTAATAATCGATTTTATTAAAAGGGAAGCTTCAATTTTTTTTTTTTTTTAAGTACCATAATGTGTACGACTCCCATTTTCACTTTCACTTGCTGCCACCGATATGTAGTATATTTTTTTCAACAACAGTTGCATAGTCGCGTTTCAACATAGTAGAACAGAAACAGAGCAGAAAGAAAAAAAAAGTGGGCGCCGCTGCCGTATGCGTGAGAGAAAGGGAAGCCAGACAGACTCGCGCCGTAACGCGTTACGTAACGAAGTGGTTTACCCTCCCATAAGAAGTTATCACTCCAAAAAGGTATCATATCTCCTTTCCATAGAATGGAACAGACATTTCTTCTTCCACAGTGGTGAGGCCACGAGTCGAATTGTTGAATCGGAATTTTATTTATATCCTAATATTCTAGTAGTGTATAACTCACCAAGCCCCGTCCCGATGGTGAGCATGTTCCCTCGGAAGCTTGCGGAGCGGATGCCGCAGCCGTTGTACCGCGACGTGATCTTCTTGACAGACTGCAGCGTGCGGCAGTCCAGCAGCAGCGTGTACGACTTGCAGCCTATCGCGTACACGCCGCTCTCCTGCCAACACCACACCACCGTTACTATGTGTTGCTTGGATTCACGCCAAAATATGAATTTTACCGATAAGTTTAAGAATTAAAATGGCTTGTAACTAAAATTCTATTAACCAACATCTTGATTTTTCTTTCATTCATTTATTAGAATTAAAAGAATTCTAGAAATTTCCAATGGAAGTTACTGCTATGGTGTGGTAATATTTATTCAAATTAATGAAAGACTTGCCCTATTTTTAAGAATAATGTCTATGTGGTGACAGATTAAGAATACGAAGTGTCACCACCCCTATTCAACTTAGACAACAGCATTGCAAGGAGAAGGAAAACTTGACACAAACCCTATACCCGTCTAGCCAGCGTGGTATAGTAGGCCAAAACCAGTTCTATATCCAGCAGTGGACTATTAAAGGCTGTTGATGATGATGGCGATGAAAACAAATATCTCTTTAATGCCTGAATTTAGTTGGCTTGAAGCTTGGAATCACAATGGGTTAAAGATGGCTAAACAGAGACCAATTTTCTGGGTCAGCGTGAGTCTCTTCAAGATACAATAAGCTCATGAGGATTATATTTTAGTACAAAATTTAAGAATTACCGACTTCTCAAAGGTCAAGGACACTCAGATTTTTCAACCAAGATTTGTTCTTTACTCAGAGCTCCCTTATCCCATCCATTTTTTCGTCACCTTTTCTAAATCTGATTATATATTCCCTAGGCAAGATGGGAATGTTCCCAAATTTGGAAAAGAACGGGAAAATGATGATGATGAACAATGCTGATAAGTATTCATTTCTATATATTGTGATGAGCTATACAAGTATTTTTAGGGTTGTTCGGTAATCTTGGTAACTCACCTGAGTGGCTAAGCAGACAAGATCTTGACAAGAAGGTAGTTTCCTCGAGAGCGTTTGCCTGAAGGTTTCAGCGTTGAACACGTGGATGTAGCCGTTAAGAGTCAGTGCTGCGATTTCCCGCCACTTCTGGTTGAAGGTTAGAGCTCGTACTTTTTGACCTGAGGGTACAAGTTATTGTCATTGTTATTTGTTTGTGCTAAAGTTAAAGTAACCCGAGCGACTCGTACTGTTCTGACGCGGAAGGATTACAAAAGCAAAATCCCCCCCCCCCATAACTGAAAAGTGCAGTATCCGAGCGACACTCCTTAACCGTGAGCGGCGCGCCCTGGTAGGGCATAGGCTACACCACTAGGTAGGAGTACCCCCCCTCCCACTAACTAAGCGGACAGTACCTGAGCGACACCTCTTGACCACGAACGGCGCTGAGTAGTGATGCATACTCTGTAGCGGCAGGGCTACAGGACCAGGTTGAGTCCCCCCCCCACTAACTGAGCCGTGCAGTTCCTGAGCGGCACTCCTTGACGATGAGCGGCGCCACGTAGTGGTGCATGGTCTGTCGCGGCGAGGCTTCAGGACCAGGTTAGAGTGCCCCCCCCCCCCCCCCTTCCACTAACTGTGCAGTGTAATAACTGAGCGACACTCCTTGACAACGAGTTGCGCCACGTATGGTGCTTGGTCTGTGGTGGCGTGGTTACAGCAATAGGCTGTAGTTTCCCAGCGCGCTAACTGAGTAGTGCAGTACCCTAGTAGCACTCCTGAATCCTACGTGCGCCACGTATGGTCTGTCGCGGCGGAGCTACAGGACCAGGTTGGAGCCCCCCCACTAACTGAACAGAGCAGTACCTGAGCGACACTCCTTGACCACGAGCGGCGCCACGTAGTGGTGCATGGTCTGTCGCGGCGGGGCTGCGGGAGCACGCCACAGCGCCAACTTGGAGTCACGGGACCCTGTCACCACGAATTCGTCATCCAGCCAACACATATCGAGGATCTAAAAGAAAAAATAATAACAAAATCACTTACTTAAAACCATAAATTGACTTTCTCTTCTTATCATACAACAAATGGATCTTGTAATAGAAAACTCAAGGTCATTCTTTTCCCTATGTCAATATGCCGTTTGGGGAAAATTTAAAAAAATAAATATCAGATCCAAGACTGTAAAACAAACAGCACACCTCGAATGGAGGATTCATGTTCATCATCAACAGCTTTTAGACGTTTGCCTCTCCTTGAAAAGAGGTCTTGGCCTAACTATCTACGCTGGCCAGAAGAGTTGGTACAGAGTTTGTATCAAGTTTTCCTTCTCTTTGCAGTGCTGTTGTCCTACGTAGCTTGCTTCCTTAGTGAGTTCTACGAAACCCACGGGATGGATAGGGGTGGTGACACTTCGTATTTTTAATCCGTCAGCACACGGACAATTATTAAAAAATGGTGGATTACCACTCTGCTTTTAAGTAAGTTTCACTCTGCATAATAAATGCTTAGAATATCAAGAATAGGATTTGAGTAAGAATGCGAAAATTTGACAATAAATGGTTAAACACCGCCGTAATAAATATACAATAAAAAAACATTTACGTAATAGATTATAATAGACCAAGTGGAACTACAATATAGTCGGGTAAAAGAGGGCGCTTAATATTACTATTTTTTAGATAAAATACGTATGTATGTATGTATGTGTGTGTGTGTGTGTGTGTGTGTGTGTGTGTGTATGTGTGTGTGTGCGTGTGTGTGTGTGTGTAAAAAATATTTACCCAGTCTTTATGTGCTTCTCCAACGCAAACCGGATCCAATGTGGGTAGACTGTATATGGCCAATTCGCATGAATTCCGAGCTCCTGTTGCTAATAATGTTCTGCAACAAAATTCAAATTAAACAATCTCTTAATTAATCTTAATTATTGAGGAGTTCGTGGCTAAGTGTTAATCGAGTAGGTTAACACATTGTAAAGTTAAGCAATCCCAGCAAGGTCAGCCTAAGAATGGGTGACCATTCTTAATACATTGAGCCCCCCCCCCCCCCCGGAGAGCACGTTAAGCCCTTGATCCTGGTTGTCATACCAACATCTGTGGCAATCCTAAAAAAGTCCGACAATTGTCTTTCTACAGAACTTCGACATCGCCTATTACTTGGGTTGTGGAGGTCTGATGGAGTCGTTTCGCGTAAAAAAATCGAAGTTCAGCCGTATTTTCAGTTGTAGACTTAAAGCTGACCCAACCTAGTTTGGGAAAAAGGCTCGGAAGAACAACAACTTTTGAGTTATGCGGTTCTCACACTGGTTCCTTGAAGAATAATAATATCCTAACACATCACTCACACGGCGGTCTGATCCCAAACTAGGCAGAGCCTGTACTATGGTAACCAGACAGCTGATAAACATACTTATGTATTTATAAATACCTACATGTTATAGATAAATTGAACCCAGACAGAGAACAAACGATCGTGCTCATAACACAAATATTTGTCCTGGGTGGGAATCGCACCCACGACCTCCGGCTTAGCAGCCAGGGTCACTAACCACTAGACCAACAGGCCCGTCGAAAAGTTACGAATACATGTTATTAAATCATTTGTGTAAGAAACATAGATGAGTACAGGATATTGATGAAATGCCACTCACCTAGAAGGATTTATTTGTAGTGCATGTATTCCCGTTTGTTGGTCGGCGCCGGCCCAGGGCGCTCTCGGTCTTAAAGTCGGTATAGCGTCTAAAGTCCGACGACGAACGTCGTACACCATTAACTGTTAAGATAAAGAAATGTAATGGTCGTTTTTTTCATCATGAAAACCCAAAGTGGCCTGAAGACGCCGCCGAGAGGTCCGGGAAGAGTTTTCTCTGTCTGAGCGTTCGAGTTCCATGGAATCCTATAGAAAGGAGATATGGTTCGGAACGCGAAGAGCACCGCATTTGCAGCGGAATTAAATATGTTTTTACTTATATAGCTCTGCAAGTGTGTGATTCTGAGATGGAATAATGTAATTTGTGTGACTCAGTAGTTTCATGTTTTATTTATTTATTTTACATCTTTATAGTACACCGCTACAGTATATATTGTACAGACATGGATGGACATCTACATGTGGTATTACAATAGGCGGTCTTATCGCACACGGCGATCTCTTACAGACAACCTTTATACGGATATTGCCAAATATGATTTAGGGTAGTCTGTGGTGTATTACTAGCTGACCCGCGCAACTTCGTCTGCGTCTTTCAATAGTAATAAATTTTCTCCGTTTTTGAAACATTCTTCATTGGTGCTCCGCTCCTATTGGTCTTAGCGTGATGATATATAACCTATAGCCTTCCTCGATAAATGGGCTATCTAACACTGAAAGAATTTTTCAAATCGGACCAGCAGTTCCTGAGATTAGCGCGTTCAAACAAACAAACTCTTCAGCTTTATAATATTAGTATAGATGAGTCTGGTTTTCAGATACAGAAGTGGTTGTCATAAAAATATTCAATGCAATTAAATTTCATAGTTTCTTTTAACTTTTATCTTGCGCAAATAAAGAACTTATGATTCGATCAACGTGCTCCAATACCCTTATAAATATTACCGCGATTAAGACCCTATTTCTTTAGTTAATAAGGTAGCTTTCGTCTCTTACCTTATTGCACTTAGTCCCAAAGACAACTTGTCTATCAGACAGCCATTGCGAACAGAAAACTTTATTCATGTTGCCGAGGTTGACCGGTGTTTCTCTAAACATGTCGTGTGTGAGCATGTGCCGCGTCGCGTACGACGGGTCCACGGAGCGAGGCTGGAACCAAACATTTTTAAAATAATTATAAGATACTATAAGAAGTCCGTGTGGTGACGGATTAAGAATACAAATTGTCACCACCCCAATTCATCCCGTGGGTGTCGTAAGAGCCGACTAAGGGAGCAAACTAAGCAGGACAACAGCACTGCAAAGAGAAGGAAATCTTGAAACAAACCCTATACTAACCCGTCTGGCCAGCGTGGTATAGTAGGCCAAAACCTCCTTTCTAAGGCTCTCCTTAGCCTATGTCCAGCAGTGGACTAGTATAGGCTGTTGATGATTGATGATAAGAAGTCCCAGAATGGCTAATGACAGGGCTATTTGACAAGTTTATGTAAGGATAGAGCATAATATGTTATCTGTGCCCACTGCTATACCCGGAGACGAAAGCGTGAGTTTGTGATTGATGTTTTATCATCTTGTGTATCTCAGAGAGCATTTCTCTATTCCAAAGGTCGCTGGTTCAATTCCCGCTCAAGTCAAACATTTGTGTTCATCAACATTTAATGTTTATTTGGTCTGGGTGTATCTATGTATAATATGTATGTATTTACAAAAAAGTATTTATATATTTATATCAGTAGTCTAGTAGCCATAGTAAAGCTCTGCTTAGATTGGGAATAGATGGCGTTGTGTCAATGTGGTAGAATATTATTATTTAGGTTTGACAAGTCATCAGATGTTCTACTAAAACTGCACTTTCTTGTTATGTACTAATAATATGAATAAATTAACACACTGCTCATTTTATTTTAAGCGGATGCCATAGCTCGTAAATACTCGATACAAGCGTTGACCCTCCTGCAGTCACTCACACAGTGAAAAGAAATTGCTAAACACCGATTTCCTGTTAGACTGTGGAATCACTCATCACTCCGATCGGAGACTGTCGATATGCCGAAACATGGAACTCCCACGGCGATCGGTTATAGGGTTATCACCTTATTAATAATACTGAATATGATGAAGGCCAATTGAAAATAATATGATGTAACGTAATTTAGCCTTCAACACTATTAATGTTAAAAAAAATAGTTTAAAAAAACTAAAAAACACGCTTTTTATAGAAAACCAAACTAAAAAATAGAAAATAAATTTTAATAAATTAAAAAAAAAGGATTGGGTGCCTGTTGTCAATAGTAAAACATTTTTTTTTTTAATTAGTGTATTGTTATTGGTCCTCGATATATCTACAAAGTTTGAACGAATTCTGACCGTTTAAAGTCAGTCAAAATCACGCCCAAAGGAGTCGGTTACAAACAAACAAGTAAAGCTAATATAAAGCGTGTAAAAACAACTGACCTATGGTGAAATTCTGTATTAATTACTAAGACAATTATATCTCTTGTGGCTAATCAATTGTCATTTACATTTAATCATTGTGTTGATGGTGGTGTATTTCCTGATCTTATGAAGTCCAGTAAAATTATTCCCTTATTCAAATCTGGTAGTACATCTGACCCAACTAACTATAGGCCTATTTCAGTACTATCTACTGGTAGTACTGAAATATAGTAAGTTGTTTAGATATTTAAAAAAAAAAGTATGATCAATTACAAAGTTATTTTAATAGTAATAATTTATTACGCAATAAAAAATTTGGTTTTACCAGGGGCCGTTCCACAACTGATGCTGGTCTTGAGCTTATAAAAATATATTTGATGCCTGAGAGGATGCCCACTATTCTCTAGGTATATTCTGCGATTTATCTAAAGCTTTTGACTGTGTTGTTCATGAAACGCTGATCAGGAAATTACAGCACTATGGTATCAAAACTAAAGCACTGGAACTTCTTGCTTCATATCTAATAACATTCAGAAAGTTGATATTATCGGTGAGCGATCTCCGGGTTTTGTGGTAAAAATGGGCGTTCCACAAGGTTCTATTCTTGGCCTATTTTTCTTTTTACTATATATTAACGACTTACCTCACCTTGTCAAGGATAATCACGAGATAGTTATGTTTGCAGATGATACATCACTGTAATTTAGACTCAAACGCACACTTACTAATTTCACAGACGTAAACAGCGCCATTTCGAAAATGGTTCATTGGTTTGAAGTTAACAATTTAGTTCAAGTTAACAACTAAATGGTTCACCACGCCAAACGTCAATTAATCGTTGTTCATTGAGGCAAAAATTTAAATAAATAAACATGACTGTGGCAAGTTAATGTATATATGAAAATGTAATATATGTTCATAAAAACAAAGATAGCTTCTTGAAAATAAGTAATGTACCTACATGCTTTTTATACCAAAAATAGAAATAAACTTGCTGTACCTGCCTCAAGACTCCATAAGATAAACAAGTCATTTCGAGGCTATTTGAAAAGAGTGGCCGTGAGTTTGTTTACACTTTCTTCTCATGAGGCTCAACTCCTTGGAAATAGGCAGTTGTAGATCGGCACAGGCATAAAAGAGATTTTTGTTACATATATATTTAGTTTGCTTAATATTTAACAAAACAGAGATTGTTGCTATTGTGTGTGTTGATCATTGACTTTAGAGTCTACACAACATACGATTTCAAATAATTTTAATTTTTTTAATGAAATAAAGATATTTGAGTTTGAAATTAATATTGTTCATAAATTTATAACGAACAAGTACATAATACGTTTTAATATCTCAGTTCGGCATTTGGATTCCTCGTTTAATCAACGTTTTTGTTTAGATTTCTTTGACATCGTTTCAGTTATAAGATAAAGGTTTTACTGTTTAGAGTTTAGAGTTCAATTTCATAGAGTAGTTAAGGTACAAATTAAGATAAACAGTAAGAAACAGGTTTGCTTCCCATTTTGTGACATTGATAGATAACTTAGTTTATATGATTGTGAAGGGCAAAAATACACTGATATCCGGGGAGATAAGATTATATGGTAATAACAATATATGTACTTGAAAAACACAAAACACTAGGAACTTGTGATTGGTACTGATACAGGGATTTATTTGTCAGTTTTACAGGACTTTGGGCTATGTCCGTGTGGTGACGGATTAAGAATACGGAGTATCACCACCCCTATTCATCAGGTGGGTGTAAATAAAATAGTGTTGGAGCGGTACATATTATAGCGCCATAGGATTAAATGGTTCTAGTGTTGAGTCATTAGTTCATGATCAATCGAGACCCATATGGAATCTTGAGGACAGCGCTATCTAGTATCAAGTAACGCAAGTAACGAATACTCCGATTTATAATTCCGATACTTATTGCGTCATCTAGTGGCGGGTAACGGAAGATTATTGGTAATAGAAATTCCTTATTATCTGGAACACTCTTGAATAATAAGGATTATTCTAGTAATTTCGGAGTAATTTCCCTATATAAGCGGAGCCTGTTGGCCGTACGTTTTACGAGACAGTAGAGAGTTGGAGTAACACCTTTTAGTTTAGTTATTGTTTGTAAAAGTGTGTGTTTATAAATACCTACTTTTATTTATCAAATACCAGCTTGTAACAATACTATTAGCATCATAATCATTCTTTAGGAGATAAACTCAGTTATTTTATTATCAACATTTGATAAATTTATCTTAGTGTGTATGTGTAGGTACTTGTTGTTATATCATCTGATGACATTGTATCCAATTATACAAGGTAATCTACTATATAAACATAGGACTACCAAGTTATAAGCAATTTTACATTCCATTTTCTAATCTGGCAACCCTATTCAACAACTACATTGACATCTAAATATAGACCAAACTATATAGCCAATTCTTTGACAATATTTTTTTAATTAAATATTTTACATCTAAAAGGGTTTGCTACCATATGTAAATTATAAGGACCACTGGATAATATGCTACTATATATAGTTGTCATTTTATTCTATTTGAATATAGCACTAAGTGCTTTGTTTCATGTTTGGACATGGCAGTGTCTTTAAGTGCACAAGTAAGGGCAGCACTCTGGTATTTTTGGTAATGTATCTAGAGGCAGATCCTTTAAAACTGTAAGCTAATGTCCTCCATACTATAAATACTTTGAGATTAATTTTATTTTGTACTAGCTGGTACCCGTGACTTCGTCTGCATGTAATTTGAAAATCACTGCCTTAGTAGTGTAGTATGGTATACAACTTTAGTCTGTGAGGCATCCCATTCGATTCCCGGGCAATATTTTATAGGATTTTTCTGAGAGTTAAAATAGCCTGAATTACTCCTTATATAGACAGCTACCTGGTAGTAAAAAAATATTAAAATCCGTCCAACCGTTTTGAAGATTACACAGAACCAACAGACAGACAAAAAATATTAAAAATAGTTTGGAGGCATGGAGAAAAAAACCAATTATTTTGACATTACAAACATACCCTTCAATTTTATTTATTTGTATAGATATTTGAAAATGGTTACATTGCCGTGGCGGGTGTGGCAGCTGGCGATAATAGAAACTAGCCAAAACCGTTAGCACTGTTAAACATTGTGATAACCTCAAATGATATTCGGAACACAGCAAGCAAATGATTATAATGAACGATGACTTAATTGTTAAAGAAATAAACGTGTTGCTATACCTCAGACGTCTGCAATTCCCGTGACCGAACATAGTCAACAAAGTTGTATGATGTTGATAATATTCTATGTTGTTGTGTCGGTGTTTCCTCTTCACTATCGCTGTCTGAATAACAAACAAAGTCTTCGGGTTTGTCTGGTTTCCTTTGTTGTTCTAACCTAAAAATTATATATTTATGATATAAAATAAGTCAACTGCAACAACGCTATATGATATAAAAAATTACATAAACACCTTGACAAATAATATTTTTAATAGAGATGATTGTTAACGTTGGCTTTATTAAAATGATATTATTTTTCTTAGGTCTATAAGTAGGTCAAAGGTATTTATTGATTGTCAAATTTGTTAATACTTGAATATATTTCTTTAAGAAACGCATCCATTGCTTTTTTTTAAATAAAGTTAAATAGCTGGAGCATGAATGTGTTATTTTCTTATCTCCAGATAGTAAATAAGCATTACAAAAAACCTCATACTTAAGCACACATTCATAATTAGAACAAAAGGATTTCGCAAAGAGGTCATAAAAAAAAACAAACAATTTTTATATGACATGCAAATGTATTGACACATATACGTGAATAAAAATCACTTAAAAATTACGAAGTTATGAGAAGGAATCTTTATTTGCAGCACCTAGCGTAGCTGCGAAGTGCCAAAATACCTGGTTTATTTTACACAATATTTACCTTAGAGCTCTGGCCTTCGCCCGTCTTTCTTTTATTCTACTGGGTATATAACAAGACGGGTATCTGCCCTCGATAGCCCTTCTCACTGTCTGCGCCATTTTAGTGCCAATCGAATGTTTCAATAAGCACTGTGGAATCAATGGTCAACTAGTCACTTTCGTTTTGTTCGGCTGTACACATACCAATAATACATTTTTCATTGTAGAAATGGAGTCCGAACGTTCACATCCACTTTTAAACTCAGTTAAGTGCCTCATTCACTAATTTTACGCGATAGATAGTTCTTACATATAAAAATACACAATGTAAAAAATATATAAAGTTATTCTATTTGCTGTAAATTCTATCTGTGATATTTCTAAGAAAATACTACAATACTACGCTGACGGAAAGCTGGCTGTCATGCTGTCAATAGTATTGCTAGGCCTAAAAATTTTTTTATTGATTCCGGTTGTCTTCAGTTGACTTATATCGGGTAATTTACCGTATTTTTCAATATTACACATTTTCATGGCATTTATATTTTGAGATTGAAATAGTCATTTAAGTCTTTACATTTTTACAAAACGCGTAATAAAAAAATCAAATTGATAAAGAGAAAATAGGATTTTAATTTAACTGGCTATATTATATTTAACTCTATAGAAATATTTTTTACATGATACTATTAGGTACTATTTGACACAATTTTCATTAACATGATAAATTTGAAGCACAAATTTCTGTTAATACGCAATGTAATATGTATATTAAAGTACGCTTAGTGGTCGACTAACGCAGTCATAGAACAAAAAACCTTTAAAAAGTTGCTGAGAGTACTGTTCAACACGTGTAAACATTAAGAAACATTAAGAATTAGGTCTTCAGCTGTGCAAAAGTTGCTATTAAAGTTAATTTTCTATTTATGTAATACCTATTTATATTAATTTAAATAAAATTTGTGACAAATTTGTTGGGTTGTGTTAAACTGATTGAAAATAAGAAACAGAAGCTGGCGTTAATCGAAAAAAACCGGTCAGGTACGAGTCGAACTCGTGCGCCGAGGGTTCCGTACCTACCCAGATTTTACGTAGATTTTCGCGAACATTTGTAAGTACAAAAATTTTTCTTAATTTTCAACTTTTTTTTATTTTTTGGAATTATTCCTTTATTTGTCCAGTAAGGCGTTTCTTCTTGCCCAGTTTCGTGATTCTAGGTCAACGGGAACTACCATATAGGATTTCGACCCAAAACCTATAGGGTACTTCTGGTTGACTTAGAATTGACAATTTTGCTGTAAGACCTTGTTTTTAACAAGGTCTTACAGCACAAGTAAAAAGAAAATTCTGAAAAATAAAAAATGTTGAAAATTAAAGTAAATTTTGGTACTTACAAGTTTTCGCGAAAATCGAAATTTGACCATATCGTTTTACCGTGTTGACTCAGGACCTTGATTTTTATACACCTAATAGGGACCATAGACCTCAGTATCTAGTATAAAGTTTAACTTGCTAGGTCTACCCATTCCTGAGAAAATCGGTGGTGACACACGGATAGACAGACAGACGGACAAGAAAGTGATCTTATAAGGATTCCTTTTTTACCTTTTGAATTACGGAACCCTAACTATATCATCAACCCTAACATATAGTTTCGAAATGAGTAGTGCGCAGTCATGTCGCAAAAATGTTTCTGGGATATGCCGCGCGGCCAGTGGCGGATTAACCTTCAGGCAAAGTAGGCACGTGCCTAGAGGCGCGAGGTTACAAAGGGGTGCCCGATTTTTTTTTTGGGCAAATAAAAAAAAAAAATATACCTTACATAAAAAAAAGCAGACTGACTAAAAAATGAATCATTGAACGTACTTTACTGTAAACTGCGTTAGGCTGATGATGATGATAAAAAGAACTGTGTCAGTAAGTATGCACATACTTACAATAACTAATAATAATAATATTCTACCACATTCACACAACGCCATCTAGTCCCAAACTAAGCAGAACTTGTACTATGGCTACTAGACAACTGATATAAATACATTTATACTTTTTTTTTGTAAATACATCCTTATTATACATAGAAACAGCCAGACCAAATCAAACATTAAATGTTCATGCACACAAATGTTTGATATGAGCTGGAATCGAACCCGGTACCTTTGGAATAGCAGTCCGTTACACAAACCACTACGCCATCCGGTCGTCAAAACACGTCAAAAACTTAAAACAATATAAACAATTCCTTAATTCTAAAGAGATGTTTAAGGTTTAGGATTTTTATTACGTAATTGCTACTACTTTTTTGTTTTCATTTTATGATATCTACGAAGATTGAGGCCAGTGCATGTGCACAAAAATGCAGTTGCTACAACGGCAGCTGTAGTAAAGATTACTCTATAAGTCGTAGTAATAGACCAGATTTGTCCAGTCAATGGCACTATCCAGTCCAGAATTAGGCACCTCTAGCATCAGAGGATTTTGGCGGATCATGGGGTTTAGAGGTGGAAATGAGTGGCTAAAGGCCGCTTGCCAAGCCACGAGGCTTTGGAACCCTGGAGGCGTCTACTAAGTAGGGTGGCAGCGCGGCACCCTTTCCTTTCGACTGACGCAGGTCTTTTCTTTGCACGTATGCTTAGGAAGGTACCAGAAGTCGATCGCTAGGAGTGAATTGAGTTGCGCCTGTCACCAATGCAGTGCAGTTTAACCGTGACTCAGCACACACTGGTCAACGGACCGTCGGGCGCTCATTGTAGTCATCGCAGAGGATTTCGCGCTATCAGGGTTACATGCTACGTGACTGGCGCGCTTTACAGCGGCTCCTGCCGCCCTGAGTATAGTGAGGCGATGAGATGCTTTAGACACTTAATCCGCCTCGCGCGGCAACTTTTATGCAATATGTATGAATGTATGAGCCGACTAAGGGAGCAAACTAAGCAAGACAACAGCACGGCAGAGAGAGGGAAAACTTGACACATACCCTTTTTTTTTTTTTTTTTTTTTTAACGTGTGGAAATCCCCTCGGACCGTCACCCCTCCGGGGTTTGCGGCGGGGTGGTGTGTCGGACTCGGACCGACTAAAACCACACGGTGTGCCACTCTGCGCCTGTAACAGGAGGGATCCGGGAACAGCTGTTGTTAAGACATCCGGACCCCTCCTAGCGCCAGCCCGCTCCTGGTGCGGGCTCCGTCTCAATGCTTTTCCTCTCTTTAGGCGACGTCCGGCACACGCGGACGCCGCCCCCTCGCGGCTGGCCAAACTAATGCGGGTGGAGGGGAAACCCACCCCGTCCACCCGCGGCCACACTCAGGGCGGCATGAGGCTGTGATAGGCGGGCCTCCGCCGCCCGGTTCGCCGGCGGCGGATCGGGTCCGAGTGGAGGTCATCCTCCTGGGCCCTCTCCGCCGCCTCCTTCCGCGAGATTACTACCTCGCAGAAGGTTGCGACCGCGGTAAAACAACTGTCGCTACCGGCCATGGAGCGTACTACGGCCGGTAGCGAGAGATCAACTCCGATGACTGCAGTGAGGGCCCGGCACTGCGCCGCCCATGCGGGGCAGACCGCCAGCGTGTGCTGGGCCGAGTCCTCACTGCAGTCGCAGTGGTGGCAGGCGGGACTCAGTTCCCTCCTAGCGACCGAGTGCAGGTACTTTCCGAAGCAACCGTGCCCGGAAAGCACCTGCGTCAGCTGGAAGGAAAGGGTCCCGTGCTGCCGCCCTGCCCACTCGGCGATGACCGGCTGGAGAGCCTCCACGGCGGCGAAGCCAGCGCGTGGAGTCTCCAGCCGGAACTACCAACGAGCCATCGTGGCTCGGCGAGCGGCTTCGCGCCACTCGCGCACATCCTCGGGCGGAGGGCGAAATCTGCTCTCCGCCCGGGAGTCAGCCACTCGCCGATAAACTTCGGCGAGCACTTCCGCCTCCAAATCCCACGGGGAGTTCCGGCCAACGCGCATGCCACCTCCGTCGAAACGGTGCGGTAACCGCGTATGGCTCTGACCGCCATTACCCTCTGAGGGCGCCAGAGGCGTACCCTATTCTGGGCGGTCAGAGCCGCCGCCCACACCGGTGCACCGTACAGTGCCATTGACCGGACAACCCCCGTGTACAGCCGTCTTGTCGCGACGCTGGGTCCACCCATATTGGGCAAAAGTCGCCCTAGGGCAGACGCAGCGCCGACCAGCTTTGGAGCAAGCTGTCGGAAGTGCTCGTCGAAGAGCCACCTCCCGTCGAGGATCAGGCCCAGATATTTCATCTGGGCCCGAACCGGTACGAGGACCGAGTTGACCACGATTGAGGCGCCAGGGGGTGGACCACGACGGGGCCTATGAAATAACAGGGCCTCCGTCTTATCTAGGGCCACCCGTAAGCCCAGCGCCTCAATGCGCCCGACCACCAGGGAGACTCCCCCTGTTTCCAGGCGCGCCGCCTCTTGGAAGTTTGCCCCCCGGGCTGTCACCAGGGTATCGTCTGCGTAACAGATTACACCCAGCCCGGGGGGGAAATCGGCGCGAAGGGCCCAGTCGTACCCTATGTTCCACAAGAGGGGTCCAAGAACAGACCCCTGTGGAACACCGCACGACATGGGCCGACACCTCAGATTACCTTCTCGGTCCTCGTACACGACGGTACGCTCCTCTAAATAGTCTGCCACTAGCCGCCTCAGGTACTTTGGCACCCCATGATAGTGGAGTGCTTCCCTGATGCAGCTGAATGGCAGACTATTGAATGCGTTGGCGATGTCTAATGACACCGCCAACAGCACGACGCCACAGCTCACGGCCTCTTCGGTCACGGCCCTCAGGCGCAACACGGCTTCGACTGTCGAACGCCCCGCCCGAAAACCAAATTGGGCGTCCGACAGATCGGGGCCCACCTCGCAGAGGTGCCGGACGATGCGGGCAGAAAGAACCCTCTCAAACAATTTACCCGCCTCGTCCAGCAGCACGATGGGCCTATAGGCCGCGACCGAATCGGCAGGCCGTCCCGGCTTCCTTAATAGGACCAGCTTCCCGCTCTTCCAGCACTCAGGGAAGCGTCCCGACGCCAAGCTAGCGTCGAACACCTCCCCGAGGCGGTCTGCCATGTGGTTGAGGGCCAGGGCCAGCACTCGGGCCGGTACCC